AAAGTATTTTTATACAAGAAACAATAAGTGTATTTACACTACCAATAAGAATCAAGTTCCGGTACAGTCACACTCCAGCAATGTTTTTATATAAAAATACTTTACCTCACCGATATCGGACCGAGAACTGATTATGATGGGCACTATAGTATGCGGCGGCCCTAAACGTCCCATTCCAGTGTAGTTGGTTTATTTTCTCACGAGAACTTCGTTATCGGTTTATCGCTACCCCCACTTCATCAAAGGTTTAGCTTTAAAGATTGTTGTTTGCCTTATAAAAAAATGTGATCTTATGACGATTATACTTAAAGGATATCGCATTGCCGCGATCGCAACTGTAAAACAAATTACTCGACAGCTTCTTTGGTTTCATCAAAATATATGGATTTCTCTATATGAAGAAATATATAACGCGAATGATTGCGATCGCGGCTCTGAGAGAATAATATGCCTTGTATGATGATAACAAATTGAATTATGTAATATAAGACTTGACAATGAGCGGCGTACGATAGGATCCGAGGAGAATTGTGTCAATTGGATACATAGTGTGTGGGGGACTTTATTGTACTTTTTTTTGATGGAGTTCAAATATAAATAACTAGTTATCTGGTGAAATTGTCTATGACTTGTATGGAATGTTAAGGAGTGTCACACACTGTTTGTATTTATTTATAGATAGAATTGTTTATAATTATGTATGTATAATTTTTAACAGCCATTCTTGTGTATTGCGTGTAGTTTTAATAGTGACAAAATTATCTGAATGTATATTTTTAATGTCTTAAATATTTGGATTTAATATTGACGTAACAATTTGTTTGATATTCCAGAAACAAGTCGATAAAGTCCCCTTCACAAATTATATAAAGTTTTTTTATGAATCGTAAGAAATTCTTAGTTCCACAATAATTAAAATGGAATATGTAAATTTTTTCTTATCTTAGTAAGTAAAAGATCTCATACGACATATTTTTGTTTTGTCTTTTTTATATTTTGATGAACTTCAGAATAGTCGAGTTGATTTAAAGACAACCTATGTAAAATAAAATATATTGATGTATATAATTTTGTGTTTTATTGCGTTTGTGTTTTATTTCCATAACAAATGGTCGGATTTCTACCTTTTACTATAACAGCATCGATCAAAAAAGTATTACATACACAATCAGCGACAAAAAATGTCCTTAACGAATGAACGCTCGTTTGAACATTTGAGCGCGCTTTTAATTTAAATTTGTTTTTGTAAAAACAACTTTAAGCATTGCGTTTAAGGTTGAATTTACATTGTTGTATATTTATTTCTACTAGAAAAATTACATAAACACAATTGGTGACAGCTTTAAGAGTACTTTTGCATGGGATTGTGTATTTAGTATTTTTAATGGATGTATAACAATGACGGCATAATTAAACTCTCAACTAAGTTGCCTATTTTTTGTGAAACAATATATAGATAATTTATATGGAATTAGAGCTCTGAAATGGGCTATGACTACTCCAAATTTAAGAAAAGGACTACGTCTGTAGTTAGCATACAGATATAAATATATTGAACCTAAGATGCACAACTATTAACAAATATAACTTCAATAAAATTATGTTAAGTAAAAAACCCAAAAATCTCAAGTTCTGATTGTGCTAACACAAATTGTAACTTACGCGTATGAAATAACGCGCATTGTCACGTATTAAAGCTACATAGAGTCATTGCTATATTTATTTTCTAAGAAATCAATTTAATAATATTGCCGTAAAAAATAACGCCATCTATTGGCATTTATTTGAACTATATTTTTCCTAATAAGATCAGACTGTTCGTTTATGTCTACACCAAAATATTCTTCAAAATAAAAAAGAGAACAAATATTTTTAATGACTAGTAATAACATAGCTGGAGCTTTAGACATTTGAATATTTTAAATCGCCAAGGTTCTTCAAGGCCTTCGAGTCAAGTCGATGGTATAGAATAACTGTACTGTCATCTGGATTACACGTAAGTTTCAATTCGATACAATATTTGAGAATTAAATTATGTTAATCTCCATCCTTTACTTAATATCTAGACTAATATTATAAAGAGGTAAAGTTTGGGAGTTTGTGACGTTGTATGGGGTAATCTCTGGATCTACTGAACAGATTTAGATGAAATTTGGTAAGAAGTTAGTTTGAGACCTTGGGAAGGACATATGATATTTTTTATCCCGGAAATCATCCCTTAAGGTGGTGAAAATGAGGATGAAAGTTTGTACTGGGTAGCAAGCCAGGGACGAACCCGAGGGAAGCGAGGATGAGTCGCTAGTTTGTTGATATAGTTACAAGTGAATAAATGTAGGAAGACAAAAACAAAATTATATTAAAAATATTTAATTTTATTTAAAAAATATTTAATTATTTCATACAGATTCTGGGATTTAGTATACAATAGGTAATGCTGCGGAATAAACAACAATATAACAACCATATTTCGAATCAGTAACAATAAAATATGATATCATGTATATGTTACAGTCAAAACTCCTTTTCACTGACAAAAACAATCAAAACGTACTTCCGACTAGAAAATATTGGTCAATACCACTAACCTAAAACGGAAAAGAAATATGCTAATATTACCAAGGAAATGATTAATAGGTTAGGTTAGTGATATTGACTAATTTTTTTCAGTCAAAACTCCTTTTGACTGACAAAAACAGTCTTGACTGGAGAAGAGTTTTGACTACATATACAAGTTTAGCTAGAATAAAAATTGTCTTCCTTAGGTGATATAGTATTGTGTTCTTATTGTGGAATATGGTGATAAAATTATTTTTTATTGTCGATATATAACATTCATATAGAAATTTTCTTTGAAACTTAGAAATGGCACCTTACATTGTAGTCCAGTCAAAATAGACTAAATTATGATCCAAGTTTGCATTAATTCCCAACAAGCTGGATTTTGTGTGGGCCTTGAATACGTCATTACAAATGATATGTCAAAAGTCCCCATCGATCCCGCTTGTGCGTTGTTTTATATTCGAGGTCAAAGGTCACAAATTTGCGTTTTTTGCGTATATCTCTGAAACAACGAGAGTTATCGAAAAATGGTTCGAACAAAGTTTGTAGATCGTAAAATTGTCTACAAAATTTGTGACCTTTGACCTCGAATAAAAAACAACGCACAAGCGGGATCAATGGGGACTTTTGATATATCATTTGTAATGACGAATTCAAGGCCCACACAAAAATTCAGCTTGTTGGGAATTAATGCAAACCGGATGTCTATTTTGACTGGACTATTGGGTATGCATATGTATTAAAAAGATACCTTCATATAATTGTTTTTTTTTTCGAATTAAAAAAGAGAATACAATTTACACAATAATGTGTATAGTTTAAACAAATATACATAACAGAATCAAACTTCTGATTTAAAATACTTAACAACCATCCTAAAGAAGTATTTTTCAACAAGGTGGTTTTTTTTCCAAATTATAATAGAAAATTGTAGTAGACTGATAAAAAAGTTTCTGAAAATTAGGTTCACAATCGCCAAAGATATGGCAGTCGAAAAGTTCGCTGTATCAAGAACTTCATTTGAAACATGAAAACTTTATTGAACGTTAAAAATTTCAAGCCACACTTTTTAATACACATATTATATATTAATAGGCCTATATGAAAAGGAGATTATTTATGTCATGTACTGTTAATATAAGTTTCAAATAGTTAGGATTTTTCGTTTGTGACATATACAACGGAAACATGCAAAAAGACAATTTATTCTCAATACATTACATCTTATATAAGAAACTATGCCATTTTTATAATTATTCTATATAAACGATTATAAGCAAACTAAGTATGATATATTCTACCCGCCGTACCACAGTATGGCGGGCTAAGCTCAATATCTTTCACTTAACCAAAGTCTTTACTCAAATTTAATATAATAACCATTCGTCGTAAATTGTCAAAAATGTAATAAAAATAACGTAATTAACACATCTATAATCACAGAATACGTAATAGTTTGTTACAGCTACTTTGCACTTTGCACTGATGTAAGCCCTAAGTATATGGGCGCTCTGTATGATAGATATAAATTTAACCTTAAAAACAATGCTTAAAGTTGTTTTCACAAAAAAATATATTAAAAGTGCGCTCAAATGTTCAAACGAACGGTCTTTCGGTGACGATATTTTTTATCGCCGATTGTGTATCTAGTACTTTTTTGATCGATGAGTAAATCCTTAATAAACTTTGGACCTACAACAATAGACAGCACAATTAATCTATACTTATAATAAAACAGTACTTTAGCGAAATAGATGTACGCGTTTCACGCAAAAAGTACTGAACAAATTTTAACTACATTTTGTGTAGTGATAACTTATCACTCCGGTCAAAATTTAGGATACCTTTTACTACAGGAAAAATTTTCATACACATGGAAGAACACAATAACTGGTTCTATTGAGTCGAAGTTAGAAATTCACATGTTTAACGCTGGGTAAACCTTAAGAGATACATCAAAACAATGTTCTACAAAATTGTAGGTCTTAATAAGGCCTACAGAAAAAATTCTCCTAAGGTACTCACGCAATAACTATTCATATCTATTTAAAACATATCTAGTGACGCACCCGAACGAAGCGAGGGTGTGTCACTAGTATATACATAGAACCTTCAACATAGAACGTTGTAGACAGCCCTAATATGATCTGTGACAGAAGACACAAGAGCTACGATAGATTGAGATGCAAAGTGCAAGCTAAATTGCACTTTATTTCATTATAACAAGAGTCGCTATTTAAATATCTGTGCAGTAAGCTTCTGTAACCAATTATTACGTGCTGTAAGTTAGAACAATTGTGGTCTAAAAGCAAATCGCAAGTACTTCACACCACGATTATAGTCTAAGGGCCCACTGTAAAATCGGGTTCAATCAAACGTCATAGTGTAAGAGCCGACGTAACTGTCACACATTTATATTGTAAGAGCAAGGATATTCGCTATATGGCGCCACGTCCTCGACCTCTACCCCTGAAACCTCCTCGACCTCTGGGTCTGGAACCTTTACTGGTATTCGGAGGACTTTTAGGTCGTAATGCTTCAATTCTCTCCGTGCAACCGGTAGTTTCACGGCCCTCAGCGAAGTATGAAGCGTATAATTCAGCATTGAAGTTAGAATTGGTAAGTTCGTGACCAATCGTCACCCAACCGGGACGTATTGTTGAGTCTCGGCCGAAGAGATGCACTCTGAAAGATTATATTACTTATAAATATATTTTTTCGATAATCATATTACGAATTTGGCTCACTCACCACACTGCACTTGGTACGGTACCTTTAAAATAAAGTCCATATTGTTTGTAATTCACATCAATACAAATTAATAACAATTTCTTTATTTACACAGTCAAGCCAAATAATCACTTTCATATATAAATTTGGACGATTTTCCAAGAAACAAAATTTTAAACGTAACAGTAAAGAATACATATAAAATATATAATCATAAATTATTTTTATAAAAATTGGCAATTTATATTGCTGACACAGTTCTCACTGTACTAAAAATCTATTTTGTTTTTCGTTAGTTTGACGACATGTTTGGCTCAGTTTGTAGTGACCCTACTTGCTGTGCCAGCGGTCGCGGGTTCGAGTCCCGCTGGGGACATTCGTTTGTGTGATGTGCAGAAAGGTTTCTACTTGAGTCATGGTTTTTTATATTTTTAATATGCATGTATTTAAAGTTATATATGTATAGTATATCTACTGTCTGGTATCCATAGGACAAGCCTCGTAGCTTACCATAGAACTAGATGGTGCTGTGTGTTAATAATATCCCAACATATTTGTATATTATTTATTTCTCACCTTCTGCGTCCCAAACAGAAATGCTCCATAATGTGAAATATTTCAATAGGCTTCTCAGTGCTACCAAACTCGGGGTCCTCGGAAATAATCAAATCTATATCCACATTTGCATGTATGAAGTCACCATCAACTGATCTCCGCACAGTTCCTTTAATACCCATAAGGCAATGTTCCTTAGTCCTTTGGAAGACTGCGTTATGTTCTAAATTCTTGGAGTGTCCGGGGTTCTTTATATTAGTTTTAATCCAGCAAATGTCTTCACAGCGTCTAAATCCCCATTTTTTGAGACATTCTCGTCCCATGTCTAAGCCTGTAATAAATAAAATTAAAAAGTTAACTTTGAAAGTGGTAGAGGAGTAACATGTAATACAATAACACAGAGTGCTATATTTTTAAATTTTCGAAACAGTATAACTGAAAAGCAAGTTTTAAATATGAAGCACAAAAATTTAATTTTCAAAAATGTAATACCATCCTCTTGTTTTAAGCGTTTTTCTGAAATTTATATTGTCAGTCTTCAGACTTTTTACATTTACTTAAAATGTTATCATGCTATTACTTTCAAGGTCATGGAAAATATAATGCATTGAGCTGTGGGCCAATAACTTCTGCTTATTTAGTTTACTTACAAATACATATAACTTATTACAATAAGAATAAATGAAAAATCAAAAAAATTATAATTATGTACCCTACAGACCTTCAGAGCTTCCACACCACAAAAACACAAAGGCCCGAGGTTGAGCTAAGTGATGCAGTTCCAAAGCTAAGACATCTCGCCAACGCCACCCAGCCCCTAACGGGGGCTCCACTAGCACCACATCAAACTTGCTACCCATGGTCTTCAGATCAAATGTCTGACAACAAACAACAAGCGGCTTAGCTCAGACTCTTAGTATTAGAAAGCTGTAATTTGGCATGGATATATTATACATACTAGCGGCTCACCCTCGCTTCGCTCGGGTTCACCTCTAGAAAAGCACAAACAGATCTATCCCACGGGAAACGTTCATTTTTACGGGATAAAAATAAGTAACCTGTTGTTTGACCTGCAATATAAGGTATCAGCATGCCAAATTTTATTAAATTAGGTGCATAAGTTGTTGTGTACTGAGCTGTATAAGTTACTATGATTTTTTAACTATCCCACGGGAACTCTTTAATTTTCCGGAATGAAAACAGACAAATAGACATACAGGCAAACAGACAAACAGACATTTTTTTTAATAACTATTGTTTTGGGGTCTATGTTGTGTACATAATACGTTACAAATAAACAAAAACATCTATCCCACGGGAAAAGTACATTTTTCCGGGATAAAAAGTTACCTATTTGTTATTCTGATGAATGAACTATATTATTGTAAAGTTTCATCAAAATCCAATCAGTGGTTTTTGTGTACTAAGCTGTATAAGGTACTATAGTTTTTTGACTATCCCACGGAAACTCTTTAATTTTCCGGGATGAAAAGTAGATGATTTATTTTTGTCATGTATGAACTATATTATTGTAAAGTTTCATTAAAATCCAATCAGTAGTTTTTGTGTACTAAGATGTATAAGTTGTTATAGTTTTTCAATTATCCCACGGGAACCCTTTAATTTTCCAGAATGAAAAGTATCTAAGATGTTGCCCGGGAATATAAGGTACCACCATGCAAAATTTCATTTAAATAGGTCCAATAGATCCGGAGATTAGCCCGTACAAAGAGAAAAACAGATAAACAGCTTGCTCGGGTTCGTCCATACATACGAATATGTTGTATTATCTCTTTAACCATTTGTCCAAATTATATGCAGTAAAAGGGAAAAGTATTTTATTTTAAACATTTTAGACGATAAATTTACTTATTTTGATAAGAATTCATAACTGTTGATAATATGACCAATAAACATGACCTACCGATTTAAATTATTTTTTTAATATAAAAAACTACTTTTTGTGACTTAAATATAAAAGTTAGACATATGCTGTCGCTGACTTTTTTGTAGGCATTATTAAGCTCTACAACTTTTCTCTAGAACATAATCATATATCTCTCATCGTTAAGGCAGCGTTCGTAAGAAACGTTTTCGTTCGACCGTTTTTTCTCCGACTTACTTTGCAAATCCGACTACCACAAAAAAGCCTTTCCATTTTTCGGGTTAATATATAGCCTATGACACTCAGAAAGAACGTGGCTTTCTATTGGTAAAAGAATTTTGAAAATCGGTTCAGTAGATCCAGAGATTACCCCCTACAACGTCACAAACTCACAAACTCACAAACTCACAAGATCACAAACTTTACCTCTTTATAATATTAGTATAGATTAGTCACGCCGACAAAGTGGTAAAATCTTGAACAAAAAAATTGTTTTTAGGGTACCACTACAGTAGGGATGTGTTTTTGATTCCATCCGCATTATTGTGATGGGCAACTACGGAACCCTACATTGTGTGTGGCCCGACATGCTATTGGCCAGTTTATTAGTTTGTGTTTTATGCATTATTAAGAATTTTTAATAATGAATTAGTTTACCACAACAATATCACTGGTGCTGATAAACTTTTGTTTGTAACTAATTTTTAAGCTATTGCATAGCTTCTATCGCGGGCCTTGAGCGTGGGGACCGAATCCAGAAATTCCGTAACGAAAAAAACCTGACACCCCCCACTCCGACCGGCACAGCGGTGATACTTTTTAGTTTTTCCATCTATCGATAAATACCAAAACTTTTAATGACTTTTTGAAATATCACGCTTGTTTCTTTAGTTCAGCAACCCGCCTTTAGGTGGCATTGGTTGTATTGGAAAACTACCGTAATCAGCTGTTTGTGAGAAAGTATATAGGTGTATAGGTATTTATCATCTATGTACAACAGTGAATATCTGTACTCGTATAATTTGTGTACAAAGTGTTTTAAATATGAATAAACAAAGTGCATTTATTAATGAAGAAAGTCAAGGAAAAAAAATACTGCATTAATGAAATAAATAAATAATTATAATTGCATAAGTTGATAAAAAATGCTATGCAATAGCTTTACCGCGGCAGTCTCCGAGTGCCACATTTATTTTTTTTGTAATAATTGTTATTATATACAGTGGTTTTCATAGTCATCATACCACCTTTTTCATACCAGCTTTTAATAAAGCAAAGAAATAATAAATGTATACTAATATTATAAATGTGAATGTTTGTGAGTATGGATGTATAGATGTTGGTTACTCTTTCACTCCAGAACAGCTGAATGGATCTGGATGAAATTTGGCACAGATATAGATTATAATCTGGAACAACACATAGGTTACTTTTTATCCCGGAAAAATGTATGGTTCCCGTGGGAAAGGGTTGTTCTAGCTTTCCTAGAGGCGAACCTGAGTGAAGTCAGGGTGAAACTCTAGTGTCACAATATTGATATACACTTTAATTATGTAACTAACTTTAAATCAAAATACTTTAATTTTATCTATACAATAAAGATAGTGGCTATTTAGTTTATTATTACAGTTATAGCAAAATATTATTACAGTAGATAGTTACAGACCTTGAGATCACATTTTAAATACATTGGTGGAGTTGCTGTTCTGGCAATAAGTTCATCTTTTAGTTTGATCAATTCTCTTAGTTTAGGGTATTCTTCAAATCTATCAGCCAACCCAACATCTCGGATAAAATTTTGTGGTCTTTGACCAGTGTCTACAAAATGCTGGCAATAGTCATTGTGTGGATTAGATGACTGGGTTCCCTGAAAAAATTAAATATATACATATTTATGTGAACAACTATTTATATTTCAAGCAGGTTTTACTCACATTATTGATAGCATAGGTTTTAAATTAGCTACTATGTTATAAAGTAGTTCCTAAAACTGACATCTATTCAACAACAATTTTGCTTACTTTAAAAAAATGTCTGTTACTTTTTTCAAAATAAAATTACTCTATAAAGAATACTATAATTATATTGCAAGCATAAAAAAAACTTTTACTGTTATAATCAATACTAAATTATATGATTTTATCCTTTTACCTTTAAGAAAGTAGATGAATCAGTATAAACCAAACTATCAGGTTCTTTAGGCATAGGTTTTTCATTTCCATCAGAACTGTATTCAGTGACTGCCTGTTTTTTTGGTAGGACATCAAGTGATGCTCCTAGGGCATGACGCAGTTCACTTACACTTGAAACCCCTAGCTGTAAAAATAACAAAAAAATATTATGTAGGCTATTGGCTAAACAAAATTTAGGCAATCAGTATTGTTTGTATTTTAGAAACAACGTGTTAAAATATACTTAATTGTTTTGTTAGAAATAACTATAAATCTGCTATTTGTTTATAAATAGTCGTAGCACTTTAAATGTACTTTAAATGTAATATATATTTCATGATAATTTTTTTGCAAAACAAACACTATTTTGAATACTATTTTGCACATGGTACTAACCGTTTGTGCTAGTAACTTTTTCCGCTTTTGAGATCTTTCACGAAGTTCCTTTAACTTTTCACTCATTTTTAAAACAATTCACTAATAATTAATAAATAATATGAGTTTTAACAAAAGTAAGTGAAGCGTCCTAACTTTGGAAGTTTCGTTTTTACTTTTAGGTTGACAAGATGTGACAGATAACATAACAGATTAATTATGTTTATCTATTATCTACGGCAAGCATTGCTGTTAAAGTTGTTACAGAAGAACTCTTAACCGGCCAAAACTAATTTTGACTGTAAAACTTGATTTTAAAAAAATATATAAGATACTTATCTTACCGATATTTGTTGGCTAGGTTAGATATTTCTTAAATTAAAACATTTTATCTAATCCCATATCGTAGTTACAGTACATAATAAACTAACCATATTTGAAAATGTAATAATTTTGTTATGGATAGGTATTATTTAAATAATTAATAATTATTTATCTCTATTTATAAAAAAATAGGCCGTCATAGAACCGGCAGATGTGACACATCTATGTTAATATTAGAATTCATAATTATTAAAAACCTATAACGATATATGAAGTAAAATAAAAAAAAATAAAGTACCGTTAATAAAATCTATTTATCTTACTTATTATTTTAATCATAATAATAATTACAGTATATATTCATAAATATACCTAATATAAAATATATAAGTATTTTTAATAGAGACTGTTTCGCAATGTAGCCTGTATAATATACGCGCGCGCACACACAAAGGAGTTGAGAGCGGCCAGCGGTGGTGTAAAGGAGAATGATGGCATGACAGCGTCATACCGTTTGCCGTTACGGCATAGGTGATAGGAGTCGGTTTTATGATGTTTCACGTCGTTTACATGTCGGATGTTTCACATCAAAATACAATCGGATGCTACTTCTAACGAAGAATCTAGTTCTAACGAAGTAAAACTTTAAGATCTTCATGAAAGTTAAAACTCTAATAAAAGATAAAACTTCGGTCAATTAAATGTGTCTATGAAAATAAATAATTTCGATCTGTTGCTCTATCACTTGTTAAAACATATCTTTTTCGTCCCTGCTTAGTTAACCCATGGTCTTTGGTTATGCCTCCCCGGGAGAGAAGCCAACTCCTACCGGGCGCGTCCCTAGGTGGCGGATATGGGAATGCCACCCGTTTAGAGGGGCGGGTGGTACCGGAGAAATCGGGCGCGGACCAAATGGCTTGGTGGGGGCCGCTCGTCGAGGCCTTGAGCCGAAATGTTTGGCCAAGGACGTTGCGGCCACCGGTGGTGGGACTGCTTTGGCGGTCCCGCGACCGGATCGGGGAGTGCCGGTTGCGGGACTGTGGTGACAGGCCTGCGACCGGCAAGGGAGGTGCCGCGGCGGGAGAGGAGTGCCGGTATTACGGTGCGCCGCTCTCCCTGCCCTCCGCGGCCTCGGCGGGGTCGCCAACGTTGGATGGCGGACGCGGTGGGGCTGCAGGGGAAGAGGAGTGTCGGTGTGTCGTTGCCGCTCTCCCTGTCCTCTGCAGCCGGAGGTGGGGTGGCCCACTTCGGTGGGGGAGAAGGTTCCAGAGGGTGCGACTTGGGGAGGTTGGCCGTCCAGTGTTCTGGCGGAGGAGGCCGTCAGGGGTGGCCGAACATCTCAGCCCCTGACATTGGGACGGGCCTTAACAGGCACTCGCCGTTGGGGTCACGGAAGAGTCTTTTTGGTACCCGTGGCCCCGGCCTTAAGGCGAAGGAGGTGTTTTGTCAGGTTTTTTAGTGGGAAGGCTGCCGTGCGTTCACCAACTTTGCGCGGCAGGAGCCCCACATAACCCGTCTCGCATCCCCCATTGGCGAGCGGGTACCCGGGAACAGGGTTTTTTCTGCCAGAAAAAAAAATGGTCTTATGCCTCGTCGAGAAAAAATAATTACAAAGAAAAGTAAGATTAGTATTTTTATATAAAAAATTCTTCAAGGAGAGCAAAAATGAAATAATGCGATATTTTCATAATGCATTTTTTGTAGATAATATCGGAAGTGATAAATTAGTAGTAGTATTATTGTGTCATTTATGGTTTGTATTCATCCCTTTTTAACGTCCCACTGCTGAGGAAGGGCCTCCCTTCAATACGAGGGGGATCAGACCATAGTCCACCACGCTGGCCAAGTGCGGGCTGACGGACTTCACACGTCTTTCGAAAACTTGTTAGGTTCTCTCAGACATACAGGTTTTCTCACGATGTTTTCCCTCACCGTAAGGCAAGTGGTAATCATGTTAAAAATGATTTGCAAATGAAAATATCAGAGGTGCGAGACCCGGTATTTGAACCCGCTTCACTCGGTTTCTCAAGCGAACGCGTTACCACTGGGCTACCACTGCCTTTTATATAGTTACTTTATTCATCTATCTATATAAATAATTCTTTTTTCTATAGGGTTTTTTTATGATGAAATGCCACAAACATATCTGTCTATACTTAATATTAAAAAGAGGTAGAGTTATAGTAGGTAATATAGGTTACTACCCAAGGAAGCCGAGCAGTAATCATAAATGTCAACAAATCAGGCAGACTTCCATACATTATTATAAGACTGATGTTTATAATCAAACAAATTTAACGCGGGTGAAATTAATTATATATAAATAAATCTAGTTTCAATATAAAGTATTAATTTTACCTTTATTTAAACTCACGTATTTGTGATTGTATTGATGCAGATGCAACAAGTGAAATGAAAAAACAAAAGCACAATACAGTTAATATCATTTTATCCCCCATTGTGCGTCAATATTCAAATAGCATTACCACAAGCATTTGTCTGTCTGTCTGTCTTTTCTTTTCCATAAGGAAAATGAAAATTGGATTGAACAAGATGATTCGTAGATTGAAATCATGTGAACAGCCTAGCACCCCCTTCTTCTCTCCACCATCCTATATAATTTTTTGCCCCAAGTTTAGAATTTAGCACAAGTGGCATATATTACAAAATTTTAAATGAATGTTTCGAGTTGGTACATATATATATGCTATGGTGAAGTATATGTACCTAATGTTTTAATGATAACAAAATTAGAAACACAAATTTGCAAAATAAATATTCAAATATTTAACTAAATTGATAATAATAGTTCCATATTTTACTAATTTAATTAGAATGTTGACGCAGGTATCTAGTAACCATTACAAGTTTACTTTAGAGTACTAGCAGAACCCGCGGCTTCGCTCGCACTACAACTACAAAAAAATTTTTTTGGCTTTATGCTATTAGTAATATTTTGATTGCTGTAATGATTTTCAAATGTCCATAATTGTGAATACGTATGATTTTGACTCGCGCATCAAGGGTTTCGTACCATCGAATATTGTGTTGTTTTTACTAATATAATATTTACACACAAATAAAATTTTACGTTTACTCAAAACATACTTTGTTATTTGTAAAAATAAGTTCGCGTTTCATATTAAGTATTCCTTAAGGATATTGTGGAAAACAAATTTAATTTTAGAGATCGTAATTCTTTAGAGTTAATATATATAAAATATCCAGTAGGTATCTGAAAAGATATTTTACGTATATTCTGTAAATTAATTTTCATTTAAACTATCTATTTAGTAAGCTCCACTGACCACTGTTTCTATTTTTTGCAAATTCTCTACTTCATCTTTTGAAAGTTAGAGGAAGAGAGAGACAATAATACGACTCGCTTACAATGTTTACTTGTAAATCAAGTAACTCGGCTAAAAAGTTATACATAATTTTCCTTTGGATTTGAAATAAGTAAGTGCACTTTCGAAGAACTTGAGCTATATATCTCTGTTTAAATATAGTATCTGGGCCGCCAAGCTTCGCTCGGAGTTCTTGGTCAAAAGAAAACTAAAAACTTGAATAAACATTACAAAAGTAAAAACTTTGTTGATCTTGTACCTTGGCCGCTTGACCAAGATGACTATGCCCGAGCGTGCAAATAACCGACCATATTTTGCGTGGAATAATGCAAAAGAAAACTGCATGAAAACTCGAAAACACGCGTTTTCTCAGACATAAGCCTAATCTAGATCAATTTGTCGCCCCCGAAACCCCCTGGACAATAACTTGTATGAAAATCGTTGGAGCCCTTTTCGAGATTCAGAATATATATGTATTGCAAGAATTGCTCGTTTAAAGATATAAGATTTGGTACGGGAATTTCAAGCCGTTTTACCAACTCTCAAAAGTGCAAAAGAAAGTCAAACTTAGCACTTTCTGATGAGGCCCCAGCCAATGCGATCCCTCTATTACTTTTTAATTTGGCCAAAAGCAACTTTATAGGTAGATTTCATACAAACTTTCACCCCCTGTTTAACCCCCTTATGGAATGAATTTCAAAAATACTGAAACTAATATTTATTTAATCGTATCGAATAGCATTAATACCAAGATTCAAGTAATAAATAATACATAATATATTTTTTTGGGTTGTATTATAACGTGTTTTCCTGTAGGAATGAGATAATCTCCCGCGGTAAAGCAGTAATAGTACCTAAGCCTAAGCCAGTATAACTATAATCCTATGTCACTCTCCAGCTCTTCAACTATCTCCACACAAAAACGGCACGCCAATCCGTCACTCCGTTTAGACGTGAAAGAAGGACAAACAAACAAACAAACAAATAAACAAACAAACAAACAAACAAACACACTTTTAGATTTATAATATCTATATTATGAACGCTTATATGGATTCAACGTCGCGTCGATTTCATTTTTTTTACATTAAATAATTAGGTAACTATTTTCTATCCTCACATAACTATCTTCACATTTTAAGGTTACAATAATAAAAACGAACAAGGTAACCATTATAATGCATATTTATTATACATTTATGCAAATCTATCACAAATAAACATTTAAAAGCTGTTTTAGAGCAGCGTCAACTAAATCTTGTGGTAATGCTATTTGAATATCGACGCACAATGGGGGATAAAATGATATTAACTTTATTGTGCTTTTGTTTTTTCATTTCACTTTTTGCATCTGCAGCAATGGAATCACAAATACGTGAGTTTAAATTAACAGTTTATATTAAGACTAGATTTGAACCTTGGTTCCTCTCGCGTAGATTATTTATACCTTTAGATAAAATTACTCCGCTCCTAAGGGGCATAGCTTAACTAAAAACTTAATAAAATTCTAACTGAGTCGTATTTGTACATTAAATAGTTTTTCGAAAATCTTATTAAATTAGTCATTATTTTTAATATCGATACAAAGGCTGAATCTATAGTTTTTAGCATTTTTGTATATCTGTCTGTGACCGGATCACAGAAAAACCACTGGAGGGATTTTGATGAAGTTTGTTATGATGATAGCTGGTTATCCGGGTCAATATACAGGATACTTTTTACTGCGGGAATATATCTCATCTCTGAGAAATCTGTACTAAACGTTAAAACGTAAGTAGGGACGAACCTGAGAGCAGCGAGGGTGAATCGCTAGTTTTTATATATAGTTAATATATTATTTTTATTACAGTTTCTTGTACCCGCAACGAAACCTTCGCCATTTGCCCGTCTTGTGAACGAACGTGCGATCAACCTACTCGCAAGTGTTATCTCCCGTGCACACATGGTTGTGTTTGTAAACATGGTTTTGTGAGAACATCAATTAATGGCACCTGTATTTCTCGTAATGAATTTTGTACTAGCAACACCACTCAGCCGTAGGCATAAGGAAGTCCTAATCAAGGATGACAAATAAAGGTTTATAATGCTGTCATTTGAATTATTTCTTGTGGTGAAGGTAGGTTAAATAAAATACTTCTAATACGTTTGTGTTTTTTTATGTTATCTTGACGAAATTTCAATAGGTAAATGTTTGTAGTATTTGAGTAAAAATTAAAATTTTATAGAAAAAAGTATTATTTATATACATAGATTAATAAATTAAAGTGAGGCACGCTTAGTGGGAGAACTTCATTGTCTTGCCTTGGACCTACGAAATTTTAAATGTCATATTGTACACTACAATCTTTATTACTTTAGAGCATATAGCTCGGCTAATATAGCCCATATTAGCTGAGCTATATAAAATGATAATAATTTTGCTTAGTGACACGATAACCTGAAACTATCGCTTGCCCGATTTTTATATTTCAAATAAATCTATCCTCTCTATAATACTAGCGACTCATCGTTTCTAATAAAACACAAAAACAAATCTATCCCATGGGAACCGTACCTTTTTCCGGGATAAAAACCTATGTGCTATTCTAGACTATAATCTATCTCTGTGCCAAATTTCATTCAGATCTGTTTAGCCGTTCTGGCGTTAATTGAGCAACAAACATCCATCCATCAAAACTTTTGCATTTATATAGTACCTAGTAAGATAATGGGATTAGTATACAAGTCATATTAAAAATGTTTTTAAACCGGGGGCTCTGTAGTGCTTGGCAATCCAGCGGCCCGAAGCCAAGAAACGCACAGGCAGGTGGCCCACTTCGGTGGACGGTGGGAGGTGGCCCTCTTCGCTGAGCGGTGTACCATGCGGGTTGCTCCTGGTACTTCTCTGATAGCAGAGTGGACCTTGGAGCAACCCCATGGACCATGGTTGTTGTGCTCTGCTTCGGCAGACTTGCCGTCGGGGCGTCGTAGTTGAATGCGTAAGAGATCCTGCGCCCCATTGAGACGGGGGAAGGTTTTGTTGGGTTTAGTGGGTAGTACAGGCTTTGCCGGTGAGTCCCACACCCAACGTTAAAAATAAAAAGAAAAAAGGTTTACGTCAGATTTTAGTGGGTAGTACTCTCATTTCTAGCTGAGCCTCCACATAACACCTGTATCTATGCGTAAATGCCATTTTACCAATAGTAAAATAGTCACTATAGGATTCAATATTTTGATATCGATAGGAACATTCTCGGTAGTATAGTGGTAAGTATCCCCGCCTGTCACGCGGGAGACCGGGGTTCGATTCCCCGCCGGTGAGAGTACTTTTAAAAAAAATCATTTACATTTTTATTCCTTCTACATAAATATGTAATACTACATGTACTGTATTATACATACAAGTATTTAATCATATATTCAACAATTAACGTTTAATTATATATATATTACGATTTTCAAGGACTATTCAGAAATATCTCATACGATTATGTGGACTCAATTTTTTTTCGAATTTGGCCACAGAATTGTCTCGCGTATCACATGAGATACCAATATTCCGCATTCAGCAATATAGCTCCAATAGTCTAAAAGTAATAACTGACATACGGGCAGACAGACAGATGAACAGATGGATAGAGGAAGGAGGGTTCCGTTTTTGCCTTTTGGTTACGGAACCCAAAACAAGAAATGTTTACATGGTGGCCAGTAACGATTCACATCCATCAAACCTAAAGCTTTTGAGATCTGGTTTCGAAGGTCTACAGGAACATGACATAAGTATACCGATGAAATTTTAAACTTAACATTTCACAGAGCTTAACATGAATAAGTAAGAGTTAAGGTATAAAGAGGTTATTATATCTTTCATAATGATAATTCTTGAAGGTAATAATGCTCTTTCTTCGAATGGATGCTATTATGCAACTACTCGTACTTACCAACTGAGTATTTTATTATTTAGCATTTTTTTTTATTAATTGCAATTTTATATTTAAAGTATTCATTTAAAATATTATATTTTAAATGAATATATTTTAATTCTTTTTATATAAATCGGTACTTATGTGTAAGGTTTCGCTATTTTAATGTATAATAAAACAGTCATTAATTGATTATACTGGCTACACTGACGACGCGAATGCACAAATTACAAATACCTTTATAAATCAGATAATTAAAAATTATGAGAATGGGCAGGCCGAAAAAAAGAAAGACATACAAATAAAAAAAGAAAGATTAGAAAAAGAAAAAAGGGGATGGTCGGCGGGGAGTTGATATGGGTGGATGCTATCGGTGATATTTCACTGGAAAAAGGAAGTAAGATATTGTTGAGAATAAGTGTTTTCTAATAAATTGTAACTAAATCTAGTTAAAATATATAAGTTTTGAAGCATGATGCTGGCTTTTCCTGAGATATCTTACATATGTTTACGATCAATTCAATGTCCCTTTGAAAAAGTTGTGATAAAAAGTATAATGTTAAGTCTGTAGATTAAATACTTTTCAAAATACATAGCTTATAAACGTTTATACGATGAAAAGGTTCTAAAAATTTGACATACCTACTTGTATCTGTTTGTATATCCGTTTTCCGAAATATTTCTATTGTGATGTTTTTACGATGCGCACGCACACCGACAGCCAAAAAGCGACATGATCAAGTTAGCTGGTAACTATTTGTTGCCATGGTAACCTTCGTTATTGTCTGACAAATGATATATAATAATATTATATTCTTCCCTTAAATGATATTCAATAAATACCTATATGATTGTAATATACCTAATATGCCTTATTTAATTATTTTATTAATTTATTATTCCTTTTACAAACAGAGACTTGTGATAGACGGGATGAAATCTTTAGCTTTTCTTGTTCTGTTACGCCAAAGAAGTATAACTTCTTACATGCGTACATAAGTACACACACATGGTTTTTTAATCGATTTTCTTTACATGCAATGAAAGATGAGAGATGCACTATATTGCATAATGCGTGCTATAATATTCAAAGAACTATTGTTGATTTATAATGTTAGTTCTTTTTGAGCATTGCACTACTAACACTATGGAAAGAAAAGTGTTTGTACTCATTTCTTTGTTTATCTCCCATATTGCCGCACGAGGAATTGGTAAGTTAAAAGAAATAGTATAAAAATAATAATATATAATTATAATTATAAGGGTACAGTATAGTGTATCGTGAGTATCTATTTTATTGCCCATCGATCATTTTAGATATTTACTATAGAAAACAGAGAGGTAATAATATTACTGTATAAATATTAATAACAGATATAATTATAAAAACTAACTATGCATTTTAAATCTGTCTAATTGTAAGATTCCTAATAATTTTCTTTCTTTACATTTCAGCCAATAACAGCTTGCTTGATATAGCCTGCGGAAAACATCAAGTGTTTAAAACTTGTGGTAAATGTGTTAAGACGTGTTCCGATCCCAACCCCACATGTACATCCGCGTGTCTCGCCGGATGTTTCTGTGAAGATGGTTATGTCATGGCTCCCAATAATAGTTGCGTCTACTTACAAAATTGCCCCCAAGGTGAGTAAGCTATAGAACATTTAAGTTGCGAGAATTGCTTGCCAGACTTTTCTGGCTTATACAAGGTCTACAATCTATTGCTGATAAATATCATAAAATCTAATAAAAACTTAAAAAAAAAATCGACTTCCACGCTCTAAAATGTAAAAAATAACTAAACGGAGATTTTCATTTAGAATAGATACCTAATCAGATATTTTCGAAGTCGGTGCCAGCCGATGCAATTTGCATCATGCAAAGCAAATCTAATATATTTCGATACGTAAAATACATATTTACCTATTAGATATTCATATCTTAAAATATTGTTGGCTGGCGCCGACTTCGAAAATATCTGATTTATAGGTACCTAATTTTTCTAAATGAAAACCTCCGTTTAGTTATTTATTACATTTTAGTGCCTGGAAGTCGGTTTTTTTTTAAGTTTTTATTTTTCCATTTTAGTGTAGACGTAATAAGCAGGTAATTTATAAGAAGAAAGTTTTTTTATAACATACTTGATTTAACAATTATTTTTTTTAAATATTTATTGTTGATTTTTCTTAAAAACTGCTCGACTGATTTCGATAAAATTTATATGGGACCATCTGGGAAGAACCTACAGAAACCTAACAGGAAGAAAATACAGTCATCATATGGAATAGAATAGATAGGCTACATACAATATTCGCTTCGGTGTACCTCAAGGTAGCATTCTTGGCCCGACGCTGTTCTTAATATATATTAATGATTTATGCCAACTGCAAATTCCAAAGTGTGATATATTTACATATGCTGATGACACTGCTCTCATTGTTTATGACTCAAACTGGAATGAAGCAAAATTAAGAACAGAACAGGCGCTGCGCCAAGTAATGGAATGGCTTTCTAACAATTTATTAACCCTAAATTTAACTAAGACGAAACTCATCCGCTTTACTTTGCCTAGCAATTACGGGCCGCCTCAAGAATCTGGACTTATTAAAGCTCACACTTGCTTAGGAAACAAAATAAACTGTTGCTGTCCATCCTTGCAATTGGTGCCGGATACTAATTATCTAGGTATTCGTATTGACGCTAAGCTGAACTGGCAAAAACATATTGAAACTCTGTGTTCAAGACTAAGGAAATTAATATATATTTTTAAGGAACTGAGACATTCAACCGATGCTGAAACTTCTAAGCTCGTGTATAAGTGTTTATGCCAGTCTTTAATAATATACTGCATCCCAGCTTGGGGTGGAACTCATAAAACTTCCATGCTGGCATTAGAAAGAGCGCAAAGGGCTATTCTAAAAGTCATGTACTTTAAGAAAAGAGATTTCTCTACTGCTCAACTATATCTTGAAACCCAAGTGTTGACAGTTAGACAGCTGTACATTCTTCGCTGTATATTGCGAAGACACAGCGCGACACCAGTCGATGAAACAAAATTAAGAAGGCGCCAAGGTTTACCTGTATCCGAACCTGTTCTATGTAATACTGCCCTAGCTCGTCGTCAGTTTGTTGCAGCAAGCACTATGTTATATAATAAATTAAATAAAATAATATTCATATATTCTTCTTCCAAATTTAGTGTCAAAATAAAAGTGTCTAAATGGTTGCAAAAGTTATCGTATGAAGAGACTGAGCTCTTTTTAACAATTCCGTCATAATATCTTGTAAAAATATATATATATATATATGTATATATATATATATATATATATATATATATATTTTAATGTATAAATAAAGTCTTCTTCTTTTATCCAAATATGATGCATATTTATAATATAAGTTGTTGATATTGTTGAAGCACTCGCATGACATATAAATAGTTGTAAATTCAATTGTGAAAGCGGAACGACTATCACCTAAAATACAGGCTCTGGCTTAGTTTAGGAGATAGTAGTTTAACTTATTTTTTGACACTTTTTGTACAACTTGCTTTACTTACTTTAACCCCTTATATTGTCACTTTATATATAGTACAATAAATAAATTATTATTATTATTATTATATTAATCAAACAAGGGTTACTAAAGATTATTATTAAATTAAAATTAAAGAAAAAAAAAGAAGAACGCTTTTATTGTATGAATACTTTCAGTTATACATTATATATATAATCAAATAAATGGTAACTTTAATATCTATACACTTTTATATTGACTTGTCGATTAAAACTAGTTCTGCAAATTTCCATTAGGAAATCTTCTTACCGCGAACTTATAAGCGATATATATATAAACATTCAAGTATCAAAAAATAGAAATGATTTACATTACAGCTGAAATCACGTTTAGTAGCATCGAGCAAACCATAGACGAATGCCACCCTGATGAAGAGTTTGTTTGGTGTGGGTGGTGTGAAGGGAGCTGTTCTGAACCTCACCCCATTTGCCCAAACTCGACGTGTACTCAAGGGTGCTTGTGCCGACCACCCTTGCTTCGGCATTACAGTGGACATTGTGTTGAACAAACATATTGCTTACCACGTAAGAGAAAAAGTTACAGATTTTATTCAATTAACGTAAGATGATGAAAAAATAATTGTAAACAAGTTATTTTTCAATAATTGACGTTGCACGTAACCGAGACGCGGGCAGAAGTATAATAATTATAATTAAAGAAATGATCCATCTGGATATCCTGTTTCCTCAGCCGGAAGACTTCAACTTTTGGACATGGATCTCTGCTAATATATTTAGTCTATATCCTAATAATAAGTATTTCGTACTATATTTTAATTGGTAGCTAATTATAGTTAAAAAGTGATTGATGCCAATTAAAATTATATATTTAATCAATAGAAACAAAAATAATTGTTCGAATGTTCCTAAAAACCGATCCGACTGTGATGAAATTCTGGTGCGTTATTCTGTTTACGCCTGCGAAAGTTCCTGACGCAAAAAACAGATTTTTTCAATCTTTAACCATTCAAGCTTAGGGACGTACCCTAACGAAGCGAGACTAAATCGCTAGTAAATAATATAATTAAGCTTAAAGCTACATGTATTATGTAATACTTGTTGCAGAAAAATGTTCTGATATCAATGAAGAGTACACCTGTCGTTACGGATGCGAAGTTCGCTGTGTGCCTCACGCCTGCGTGCGCCCGCGCAGGTGTCGCCTCGGCTGTCACTGTAAGAAAGGACTTTACAGGAATGCTCAAGGGCAATGCGTCCCCGCTGACAAGTGTTTCGATGAATCTAAAGCAGTGCCCTAAATAAAATAAATGTTATTAGTTAAAATAAAGTTTTATTAAAAAGAAAATGTCGATACGTTTCTTTTATTGACATTTTATTGAATATACATACATGTAGGGTTATTTTTAAGATAATAATGCGAATTGCAACTTAAGATAGCTTAAGTTGTATTCCACTTATTAAGGTACATGTTTAAGCCATAGAGTACCTACTTGCTGCATAATTCATATATGTACAGGTCGACTGTTCTCAAAATGTTGACCGAATCCAAACTAATTTTTTCGTAAAATGTCATAAAAACATGGAATAGCTTTCGACGTTCCTTATGAGTCTGTTCAAAACAAAATGAACTTTATAAAAGAACCAACTATAAATAATGACAAAATTCGGACAGACCAGAAGAGTGGTTTGCAAAGTAATATGGCAATTACGTCAAATACAGTGCAAGCTAAAGACGCAACAATTAGTAATAAGTCGAATACAAACATCTCAAATGGTCACGCTAATAAAATTCTATGTTGTCGAAGGAAATTACATTAGCTGACACTGCTCGGGAAGGAAATTTGAAACCTCAAACTGACAATGAAGAATGGAAAATAGTACAAAAAAGAAAACTAAGAAATCGATTTATTGGGAAGAGAGGGACAGCGGTTATGACAAAATGATAATTTTAAAGCGGCGGAAGTGAATATTCCAATATTTATTTATAACGTTGCAAATGGTGTATCTGTTAATGATATCAATAGTTACATAAAGGCAAAGGTTAATATGTGTGTTTCTATTGATCAAATAAATTCAAAGTCTTTAAAAGATTATACTATATCATTCAAAATTTTAGTTCCAAAACACAAACTAGACTTGTTTATGCAAGATGAATTTTGGCTTGAAGGAATTGTCTATCGTCGTTTTATTGATTTTAAAAGAAATAGAGAAGCCACAAGTGACCTGACACGGCAATTTGTATAATAATAAAGAATTATAATATTAACATCTAATTACTATGAATTATATATTGATCTGAAATAAATTCTTATTATTATTAGGTATTATTAAAAGATATTTAACATATATTCTGTAAATTAATATTGAATGCTCGAACGACCACCGAATGTATAATGAGTAGAGAAAGTTATGAATATTATCTGTAGTAAATTAGGAGGTGAATAGGTAAATGACTGTAATAAAAGCATTTAAATTTTAAATCAAAAGATAAACTTATTATTTCAAATTAAATTTGCAAAAGATTAAATATATTTAAAGATACACGCACATTCGCTAGTTTCATATATTATGTTACTATAATACGACAAACTATGAACGTTTTTGACCAATTTTGTTCCTGTTAAAGGTTTTAATGTGACCAAAATATTTATTTAACTGAGACAGCTTTTTTTACAGGAAGTCATTAGTCGAGTGTAATTAGACTTATACATCGAAACTCAGCTATAATTAATGGATTTGGCTGATTTTAGATTTTTTTATTTCTCCTACTAAAAACTATAAATTTTACCTTTTGAAACATGATGATATATAAGCCTACAGCCTTCCTCAGTAAACGGGCTATCACATTATTATCCTGAGAATTATTTGCCCAGTGGCAGAATTGCATCACAGACTTAGGAAAAAAATGCTGTTATCACTACATAATATAAAACAAAGTCGCTTCTCGTCTGTCCTGTCCCTATATATGCTTAGATCTTTAAAACTACGCAACGGATTTTGACAGAGTGATTAAAGAGGAAGGTTTTAGTATATAATTCGTTAAGTTTTTGTATACATTGGCTAAAATATAACTATATATATAATATAGATAAAATTTTGGTTAATTTCACACTACCCATTAAATAAAATTAAATAGTGCATTGTATTGCTTATTATGTAATTTTTTCTGGAACAAAATTGTTGGATGTGCGCGTACCATAAAACGTAAATTGATATTTTAAATTATTGCTAAAATGTGCACCGAAGCTTTAAAAACGCTTGTATTTAAAGATAACTTGTTATTCACCTGCCACAATTATTGGAAGATACTACAATTGAATACGATGGGCATTAAGACTGTTATACTTTTGAGTTTGCTGGCCACATTTGTTGTTGCACAAAATGGTAAGTAAAGAGTTTTTATATAGGTATGCCCGATATTTTAAGGGTCTAAGTGATTTTTAAGATTTTGGCCGAAAATTTTTTGTATTTTTTGTGTGTATATTTATGCAATATTTTCACCAGTCGTTTATTTTAAGAAAAAAGTCTACCCGTAAAAACATTCTAAATACTGTTAAAGCTTTTTAGTTAACAATTAGGTTAACAATTAATTATAAACTTGTGTCTGAAGTCGAATCTTTGTTAACCAAAGTCTCGGATTGGGGTCGACTAAACTTAGTCCAATTTAACCCCAAAAAGACACAAGTTTGCGCGTTAACCGCTAAAAAGTCGCCATTTATCGTAGCTCCTCAATTTGAGGGCACTCCTCTGTCTCCCACAGCCAGTATCGGAATACTTATATAGCAACGTCCAGTTCCGTGGTCAATTGGAAGGTAAGGCCAAACTGGCCTCAAAGAAGCTTGGTGTGCTCAGCAAGGCGAGACAGTACTTCACGTCGCGTCAGCGTCTTATTCTTTATAAGGCGCAAATTCGGCCCCACATGGAGTACTGTTCTCATCTTTGGGCGGGAGCTCCCCAGTACCAGCTACTTCCATTTGACCGCATTCAACGTAGGGCGGCTCGAGCTATCAAGAATCAAGCTCTCTCCGATCGGCTTGATCCTTTAGCTCTGCGTAGAGATATTGGATCACTCTGTATCTTCTACCGCATTTATCACGGGGAGTGTTCCGAGGAATTGTTCGGACTGATCCCGGCTGCTGAATTTCATCATCGGACATCGCGCCAAAATATTAAATTCCATCCACATCACCTTGATGTCCAGCGTTCCACAACAGTGCGATTTTTAAGGCATTTTCTGCCCCGCACAACCACTCTGTGGAACCAGCTATCGCCGGCGGTCTTTCCGAACCGCTACGCCTTGGCCACCTTCAAGAAGAGAGCGTATTCTTTCCTTAAAGGCCGGCACCGCATCTGCAAGCCCTGCGGTGTTGCAGATGTCCAGGGGCGGCGGTGATCACTTTCCATCAGGTGAGCCTTCTGCTCGTTTGCCCCCTTAGTCCCATTAAAAAAAAGGTACTTTGTACCAAGAATGTCTCTCCTCCATATCTAAGTCGATCGAAAAATACTCTAGGTACATCTGTACTGTCCATGATACTATTATTATAAAATGAACGATTATCTGTATTACAATGTTATAATATTTTTCATTCATCTTTTTTCGTCTATATTGAAACTTCTGGTTTTGGTTAATTTCTGTTTTTAATTCACTTTTTTATTTATTAAGTGATATTAAGCGAAATTAGCATAAAGTGTTTACCTTTAAATGATTTTACATACCCTGTGCATGTAATGTAAATAGTTTAGGAAATATTATTTATGTAAAATCGCTGGTAGACCCAATCTTCTTCTATACTATAATAAAACAGTAGAGGTCGAATGTCTGTACATAGAAAAAAATGCTAAAAACCGAGTCAGTGGGATGTAAGAAGACAAATAGAACAAGTCCAGGTATTTTTTTAACTTTTTGTTTCTCTGTCTGTTTGTCTGTTTGTACGGGCTAATCTCCGAATCTATTGGACCGATTTAAATGAAATGTTGAATGGTGGTACCTTATATCCCCGGGCAACATCTTAGATACTTTTCATCCCGGAAAATTAAAGAGTTCCCGTGGGATAGTTAAAAAACTATAATAACTTATACAGCTTAGTACACAACAACTTATGTACCTAATTTAGTAATATTTGGCACGATGATACCTTATATCGCCGGTCAAACAACAGGTTACTTTTGATCCCGGAAAAATAAACGGTTCCCCTAGCATAGACCTGTTTGTGCTTTTATATAATTGTAAATAAATAAAAATAAAACTTTAGTCGATGGTCGATCCACCCAGCGCCTTGACGTAACTTAAAACTAACTTAAATCGGTAACATTAAACTTTAAGGCTAATTCGAATGTTAAAACATACATTATTTGAGACTAGATAGTATTTAACATTTAATAGATTTTTTCTTTTTAGTTACAAGAACCTGTGGATTAAATGAAATATTCGCCGCATGCAGGCGATGTGAGAAGACTTGTACAGACACAAATCCTGTGTGTGTGCAAGTTTGCCTTTCTGGTTGTTTCTGTAAGGAGGGATACGTCCGAGGACCAAATGGAAGCTGTGTATTATTAGCCGACTGTCTTCAATTACTAGAGATTTCATAATTAAGGAAAAGGAGAGGTTTTACTGCAACATTTCACAGATGGTGGCGTACCAGCATATGACGTTAATCACAGATCACTTAATACTGTACTAGTACAAATGCCTCATGCCATATGAAGAAATTGGACAGCGCTGTTTCGGGCTATCCTTCGGGCTATTTGTCTTTGCTAGAATAGATAATACATGTCGTTGATCCGCAGATAATCCATTGAACAGTTTTTTTTAATAAATACTATGTGCTAACTAACGTACGGTAAATTCCTGTATTCAATTAATAAATATCAGTGATTTTAACAATTTTCAACTGTGAGAAACAACTCATAAAAAGAAAAAGCGCCATGTGTGAATATGGATTACAAACCTATCATCTTATTGTTGATTTTTTAATAATTTTAAATAAATAATAATTTTAAATGTTTGTTCTTCAGTCATGGGTGTTTATATTTATAATATGTATGTATCTAAAGTTATATAATATGTATAGTGTATCAACTATCTGGTATCCATAACACAAGCCTCGTAGCTTACCGTGGAACTAGATGGTGCTGTGTGTTAATGTCCCAACATATTTATTTATTATTTATTTTAAGATTCGAGAACGAGTAGATAAAAGATTTTGTATATAAAGAGCTGTTTGGGTTGGTTTTTATATTTTACAATTTTTTATCAGACACATAAAAAATATTAGCTTTTGCCTTAAAAATGCCGTCTCCAACGTATATTTATATCTTGAATAGTAAATTTTTTACAGCTAAAATTGATATGCATAAAAATGACATTTCTTGAAAGTCTAAATTCGGATAGGCGGAAACGATAAATTTTGTTTTTTGGGATCCTAAGCAACAGTGCCTCAAAGTTACAGCAAAATCTAAAGTTAGTTAACTTTGCCAATCAGACGTTTTCATATGGAATGACTATACCATGGACTATACATATGTTAAAAAAAAAAAGATTAAAGAAAGGAAGATCTATTATTAAAATTTAGTTCTCTTCTTTTTTTATACAAATTCCGTAATCATAAAGTTTCACTCCAGGATCACTACACATTTGTAAACAGTATATATTGTCGTAGGTGACTCCATCGGTTCCACATACAGGTATCCACGAAATGTCATTATGTGGGCAGGCGCACGGCGTCTTTGCTTCAGTCAGTCCCAGTAAAACAATCCTAACTAAAGTCACTGAAACAAAGTCCATTCTCTATTACCTAATCACAAGTCTTAATTACTTACTCCAACTTACATGTGTGTGTATGTATTACTCGTTCATAAAGTGTGTGGTGTAACATTGTAATTAATCTATACATATAATAAAATTCTTAGTCGAACCTGTACAATAAATATTTTGTCAAATAGGGACTCACCGTCGCTTCGCTCGGGTTCTCCTCCCAAACTTTTCATATCATGAGATTGCAAAAAATCTTATTTTATAAAAAAACACTTCATTTTCTTCTATACAAAACTTGTCCTGACAATAACAAACACAAAAAAAAGAATTATCCAATTTGGTGCAGTCGATCGGAAGTTATGCGCGTACATACATTTCGGTAAGTCATTTTTATTTATATAGATGTACAAAACCTGGGCTATTTCCGATCTGAGTTATCAGTTCGATTGATAATGTACAAGTTAGTAAAAAAATAATAATTAATCAACTGATGGACCTAAACGGACCTAAAGAAGGTGCAGGGTGAGTGCAGGGTGCACTTGCACCTCTCTGCCATAAAGGAAAATATATAGAAAAAGTTAAGGAAATCAAATTATATGAGTAAAATCCCTGTTTAAATTTAGATATCTCCAAAGAAAACATCATAAATAAGATATGATTAAAAGTTATGAAGTTAATCATTTAAAGATTAGTTAGTAGTTTAATATGTGAAGAAGCAGCTGCACCTCCTTGGAAATAATTCTGCCGCCGCCCATGTATCTATGGATAATATATATTTTTTTTAATTTTACCCTTTGCCTAAACGAACAAATTAATAAATCTACTTACTTAATTTGAAGAACATATTTCAGTGTCGTGTTCGGCCTATGTAGGTACTAATTATATATTGAACTAAACTTTTTTACTTATTACATATGGGATCGAATGTGATAAGTAATGCATTTAAAGCATAAATTTTGTAGTAAATATAATATGCATGCAATGGATTCTATAATGTCACGAACTTCAATCTAAGTGACTAAAGAAGGTCTTACAGTGAAGGAAAACATCGTGCGTCCTATCGTGAATCTGCGTGTCTGAAGAATCTAGCAAGTTTTCTAAAGGAATTTGAAGTCCACTAATCCGGACTTGACCAGCGTGGACTATGGCCTAATTCCCCATGCATTAAAGGGAGGCCTGTGCCCAACAATGAGACGTTAAAAAGGGTTGAATATAAAGAAAATTTGAAATCAATTCTTTGGTTTTGATGTTTGTGTTGTTGTATAATTGGTTTAGTTATAATTATCTTTTACTAGTTGTATTTCTATAGGTAATACATATTTGAAAAAAGTCTTACTGCTATAAAAATAATAATTAAACTTTCAATACTTTAAAAAAGAAAAAAATGAAAAGAAATGTAGGTACATAATAATATTTTTAATTATACATATACATATGTCCTCTGGTGAAGCTTCACACTGAAGGATTTTTTATATAGACGGAATCCGCCAATATAAATGACAAAGTCAAAAATAGCGCTACTATTCTCGATTTTGCCATACAAATCGTTTAATTTCTTTAAAGATTTAGTTATTATTTGGCTTCATGTTTAGTTCTATGACACTCCGTCTATATTATTCCTTAGTCTAAATACTACAACTCTTCATACTGAATACGTTGACGTAGATGTGCCTATCAGAGGCATGCACAAGACTGATTACTAAGGCACAAGCAGTAAGGCTTATGTGCTTGCGTCACCGCCAGTACAAGAACTGTTACTAATATAACTGAAAAAAATAAATATTTCTTATGAATCAGTGCAGTGTAATCAGGCAGTGCTAGCCCAGTGGTAACGCGCTCGCTTGGGAAATCGAGTGAAGCGGGTTCAAACCCCGGGTCTCGCACCTTAGATATTTTCATGTCCGAATCATTTTCAACATGATTACCAATTGAAAAACGAATGTAGAAAAATATCGCGAGGAAACCTACATGTCTAAGAGAACGTAGCAAGTTTTCAAAAGACATTTGAAGGCCGCCAACCAGCACTTGGCCAGTGTGGTGGACTCTGACCTGATCCGCCCTCGTATTAAAGGGAGACCCGTACCCAGCAGTGGGACGTTAAAAAGGCTGAATACAATAACTTCTAAAAAGAGCACAAACTCCACACTTTACTAGACCGGGACAAAAATCAAATATTCCAGTAAAGAAATGGAAGTCACCATTTAAGCGACTTAGACAGTGAAAAAATTATAATTATGATATTATATGGAAGTGTGTATTCATTTTATAGTTATATCTATTTTTTTTATATTAGCGACTTTGGTGTATTTTATATATTTTATAAAAGTACGCCACCTTTTGACAATTTCTCAATTAACAGTAACCTATGTGTTACTTCAGGTCTTAAAACTATCTCCCCCCCAACGTGCGTTCACCTTGTCGTGGTGGGGGGGCTCAGTAGTGTACTCGCGAAGCCAAGAAACGCACAGGGAGGTGGCCCGCTTCGGTGGGCGGTGGGAGGCGGCCTTCTTCGGATGGTGGTGTACCATGCGGGTTGCTCCTGGTACTTCTCTGATAGCAGAGTGGACCGTGGAGCAACCCCATGGTTGTTGTGGTCTGCTTCGGCAGACCTGCCGTCGGGGCGTCGTAGTTGAATGCGTAAGCGATCCTGCGACGCCCCATTAAGACGGGGGAAGGTTTTGTTGGGTTTTAGTGGGTAGTACTGGCTTCGCCGGTGAGTCCCACACTTCGTGCGTAAATGCATTTCCCAACGTTAAAAAAAAAAGGTCTTAAAACTATCTGTGTCTAAAATTTTATCCAAATCCGTCCAGCCGTTTCATAGTGAAGGAGTAACATACAAACACAACAATATTATAAAGCTGAAGTTTGTTTGATTGTTTGTTTGGTTGAACGCGCTAATCTCAGGAACTACGAATCCGATTTCAAAAATTCTTTTTGCATTAAATAGCCCGTTTACTAGGAAGGCTATAGGCTATGTGTCATCCCGGAAAAATGTACGGTTACCGTGGGACAGTTTTTTATGTCTAGGGGCGAATCCGAAGCGAAGCGAGGGCGAGTCGCTAGTGCATATATAAAAGTACTCTGATTGCTTAAAGGGTATTCAATATATTTTGTAAGCAAACAAGCATAAATTACACAAAAAAAAACTATGTTTTTGAAATTAAACTGTGATTGTACTTACAGACTAGTTTTGAATACATGTTGCAAAGTAGTCTCCGGTCGATTTGTAGGTATTTGAATGTTTATTTTTTCTTTATTTCACTTATTATATTTATAGGTACGTGTTTGATACAAATAAATATTAGATTAGTGTAGTAATATAATATTATATAGTATATAGTAATAAATGTTACCTGTACTGTTGACAATATAAGTAATTTTTACAGCAGTTATTCGGCTTTCGTCTTAAAACGGTGTTTTTGTATGACTAGAAATTAATTATCTTACGAGTAGAATAAGGTTGAGTTTATTTGAGAGGTGAACTCCCTCATCTATATAACGAATTTTATGTTTATGAATTTAACTTTTATTTATCTATTATAAACATTTTAACAATTTTTCGCAATCACTCTCGATTGATATCTGTGTTGTCATACAATTTGTAAATTGCCCTAATTGATATTTTTCTTTTTTATTACATTTAATGATACGGGGGGAAATCCAAAGCACATATTACGTGGATAAAGTCTCAGACCGACTGATTTGGACAAACGCACGCTTATATACACGCTTATATTTAGTAATAGACCAAATAGGTTTTATATAGTTTTTTTTTGAATTTTTATAGTTACCTATTACCAAATTTTCGTGTTTAAAAATGATTGAGCAGTGTGTAGCCATGTTATGTTTATCATGTGAATGGTACAGGTACAGATAAATTAATAGTGCCTTACTCGTTTTTTTTTCTATGGTACTACTTATGGCACTTGCATTCCCAACCATTGTTCTTTACAAATACTGAACGGATGTAACTTAAATACATATTTATCTACGCTCAAAGCGAAAAAAACTGGGAATGTCCATGACATACCGGTAAAGAAGGATTGTCCAAAAATGTACATAGTAAAAAGTTATTGCATACTTTGATCTCAATAAAAATATTATATTTCTAAACTTTAAATTGATTTTTTCTAATAATCTATTCATTAGGACATAACTGTTCTTTGTCTGTACCCTTCATATGGTACCCCCTAGCCTACCTTGGTAGACGTCAAGCATTATTACAAATCGTTAGTAAAAATTGTTATGATGTCATTATAGTAAACATGCATTTTCTCAATTTTCCCGTATTTAAGATTTGGGATAATAATTTAATTGTTGTGAAATTGTATTTAAAAATCTCAAAAATCTACTAAAGAAACTTTCTTATATGTAAAGTGTACATTAATTTCACACGAAATCGAATCTAAATCAGTTCCAATATATTGTTAAATTAAAAAATGCAAATCAATATTGAGCGTCACAACAATTATTATTCTTATCGTTTTACAGGTATATAACACAACTTATGTGGCTCCTATAATACAGAAGCTATTAAAGATATAATATTAATATAAGAAAAAAAAACTATAAACTTTTTATTAGTTCTCTTCTAAGCTAGAACAAGATCCATGTTTAACGACTTTTACTCCAGGGGTATCACTACATCTTTCCATACAGTATATATTGCTGTAAGTGACTCCATCGGATCCACACATTGGCGCGTACATTCGTGGACAACCACAGGGTTCCTTTGCTCTCGCCAGTTAAAGTATTAATGAAAAAATCGTAACTAAAGTCACTGAAACAAAGGCTAAAATTAATAAATTTACCTATGACATACATCATTCGGGTAACCCTATGTTACTACAGATCATAATTTATCTGCGAGTTAATTTCATTCAAATTTGTTTAGCCATTTTAACGTGAAGGAGTAACAAATATACGTAAATAAATATTCGCATTTATGATAGTCGCGTAATATAAAAATTTACATTGGTAACATATTTCGACATTGTGTCGTCGCGACCATTGTTTGTACTTAAGTCAAAAGATTTCCTAAAAAATATTAAATGTACAGACGTGACTCAATTATAATTTTATTGTAATATGCAAAAAAAATACATGTATTAATAAGAAGTTTTTTTATACATACATATATAATACTAGCGACTCACCCTCGCTCCGCTCGGGTTCGTTCCTAGTTAAGTTTTAACTTTAAGTATAGATTACTTCAGAGATGAGATATTTTTCAGCAGTAAAAGTTATCCTATATGTTGACCTGGAAAACCAGCTATCATCATACCAAATTTCATCAAAATCTGTCCAGCGGTTTTCTCCTGATGCGGTCACAGACAGACAGACACAGACAGACAGACAAAAATTGTAAAAACTATAGACTCGGCCTCTGTATCGATAATAATCACTATTTCGATAAGATTTTCCAAAAAATATTAAGTTTACAGATTCGACTATCAGTTAGAATTTTATTATATGTATAGATATCTATATTCTACATATATCTATAATTGTACGTGTCTATATGTATATGTATTGTACGTGTTTTCCCGTGGGAATGAGATAATCTCCACGGTAAAAGTGGTAAAAATGTAGCCTATGTCACTCTCCAGCCCTCTCCACACAAAAAAATCACGCCAAGCCGTCACTCTGTTACGACATGAAAGAAAGACAAACAAACAAACATACTTTCACATTTATAATATTAGTATGGGCATGGATAATGAGCAAGAATATATGTATCAAAATCATATAAATGTTATAAAATAATTTAAAAGCTTATATAGCTCATGTATTTATTGTATGTACTGCCTCGGTGGTTTAGTGGCTAGCATATACGGCTGCAGATGCTGAGGTCCTGGGTTCGAGTCTCGGATCGGGTCAAATATAATAACTGAGATTTTCTGTTAAGATATTCCCAGTGGTAGCCCGGAGTTGCGAAGTTGACGATGTTGCACCCCCGTGCCTCAGAGAGCTCGTAAAGCCTTCGTCTGTCCTGCGCCTTAACTCTCACCGGTTGTGTCGAAGTATCATCCCATCGGACTTTGAGCGTAAAAGAAATACAGATTACACGTTGTGTCTGAGCGTACACGCGCTGTACTATATCTCCTGCGCATCTGGCTAGTCTCAATGAGATTGGCCGCCGTAGTCGAAATCAGTCGGGCGATAAATCTGTATATATACAGTGTTGTGAAATCTGCGATAGATTAAAATCATCGTCGTTCATGATGAAGTCAATATTTATATGGCCATTAAACTATAGTTATGCCAAAAAAAAATCGGCGTTTATTTAAAAAGATCTTCATTTTAAATATTTTAATACCATACAAAATAATTAAAGCAAAGAGGTAAATCTAAATTGCTGTACATCCTGGTGGTCATATTATAAATTTTCCCCAACATATGTATATAAAAAAATCGTTGATTTACATACTTTAATATAGAAACAAAACAAGTCAGGACTTAAGTTTAACTAATTAAAAGATTTAAAAAAGTTCAAATATAAATTTAATGGTATATATAGCCCGGACAGGGTCCTCTCTTGATTACTTTCACTTCTGGATGACAGTTTCCTAAACAACGTACATCGCCATAGGTGCGTCCGTTAGATCCACATACTGGATTTTCATTTAGAGGACAGATGCAAAAACCATTTTTCTCTCCTTTTGTCATTCCCAGTAAAAGAATCGCTACTATTATTGCTGAAATAAAGTCGAATCTTTATAAATCGCTTTAAAAAGTTATCCAATGCCGGACTTCTTTGTTACACAACCAGGACAAGCAACTGCTGTACGAAAATTATACCAAAATACAAATACCATAATATTAGTATAGATAATACGAGTATTTTGGATTTAAAAATTATTATTAGTGTTTCGTGAAACACAAACAATAATCGGAACGACACAGTTAAAATATGTTTTTAAAATTTTGTAAGTCTTTAATTTATGGCTATAATAATAAAAATGCCCTCCTGACCGATTTCGGCCACGGCGGCAAATCTGAGACTATAGACAGATGCGTAGGAGATATTATAGTGCACAAGTGTAAGCGCAGATACAAGTGCATTCTCTCTTCCGATCACTCTTAAAGTCCGATGGGACGATACTTCGACAAGACCACTGAGAGTTAAGGCGCAGGACCGATGAGACACGTGTTCTTCGAGACACGGGGGTGAGACACCGCCAACATCCCAAATCCGGGCTGTTACTTGACAATTTTTGGACAGAAATACTCAATACTGAATTAGGCCCGACCTGTAACTCGAACCCAGGACCTCCGGATCGTAAATGCTAGACACTAGACCACCGAGGCAGTTTATGGCTATAAAATAAAGATAAACTGAGTGCGTTGTCCTTTTTGACCTAGAATTGTCAATTTTGGTTAAAAGCAAGGTCTTACAGCACAAGTTAAGGGAAAGTTCCGAAAAATAAAAAAAGTTGAAACTTAAGGTAAATTTTGGTACTTACAAGTTTTCGCAAAAGTCTAAATTTGCCCATATCTTTTTATCGTGTTGATTTAGGGCCTTGATTTTTATGCACCTAATAGGGACTATAGACCTCAGTATCTGGTCTAAATTTTAACTTGCTGGGTCCAACTGTTCCTGAGAAAATCGATGTTGACACACGGACAGACAGACAAGAGAGTGATCTTATAAAGGTTCCTTTTTTACCTTTTGAGGTAAGGACCCTAAAAATAAATTATCATCTTATTAAAAAATTTTTCAAGTCTTTATGGGACATGATATCAGAGAATACTCATTCGTTGATGTTCATGATGCTTTCTTGTAGGGTATAGTTTATATCTCAGGGTATTTATTCGGGACCATCCAAAACACTTTATGTAAAGAATAATTAATTTTAGAATGAATTAGAAGTTGGTGAATGTTTTTAGGTAAAAAGTTATTTATTATGTGTTCGGAATTAATATTGACGTAAAGTGGAAGAATTCAAAATTATATTATGATAATTGTGAAATATTATGAAAAATACTTAAATATATATACTATGGAAAGTACCTACCGTAAATATAACTATAGCGGCTAATATAATATGTAAGCAAATATCGTTTTTGCTATCAGTAGCAATGAAGTGAGTACACCTAGTCTTTGTTGATATTTGTTTTACGAGTAGAACTCAACCAACAAGAACAACATGAGTTTTATTAGAACATATTTATGGAATATTTTTTGCTAGGGAAACTCAGTTGGTAACTGTTTAGATCGACACAGTAGCCGTAGGGTCATAGCAATGTGTATATATATACATATACATATATATCTATCATTCATAGGTTCTTCATAGGTTATATATATATATATATATATATATATATATATATATATATATATATATATAATCTATGAAGTTACGAAGTTTGTCAAAATATTATGGTATTTTTTTCTCCTTCTATTAATTCTTTAATTTCGTGGTAGCTGAAGTTCCATGCATTTGCTCTAAATTTGGTCTGATAATATGAAACCTATAACAATTTAACTTGCCCGATGTGTAAAAAAGGAGTATATCTATATATTAATACGTAAAACAAAAACTTTGGCCCCTTTTTAAGCATATTGCATGTACAGAGAAGGATGAGCTTTGGCATAGTTAAAGTTTATATAGAAAAGGACTGCAAATAGCTATTTATTGACTTTCTTTTACCCGCGAAGCCGCTCGCGCATTTTATTTATATATTATATATAATAACTTCACTGCTAAAAGATGTAACATGATGTTCCTTCATCAATATTATACACATATATATATATATATATATATATATATATATATATATATATATATATATAATCTATGAAGTTACGAAGTTTGTCAAAATATTATGGTATTTTTTTCTCTTTTTATTAATTCTTTAATTTCGTGGTAGCTGAAGTTCCATGCATTTGCTCTAAATTCGGTCTGATAATATGAAACCTATAACAATTTAACTTGCCCGATGTGTAAAAAAGGAGTATATCTATATATTAATACGTAAAACAAAAACTTTGGCCCCTTTTTAAGCATATTGCATGTACAGAGAAGGTTGAGCTTTGGCATAGTTAAAGTTTATATAGAAAAGGACTGCAAATAGCTATTTATTGACTTTCTTTTACCCGCGAAGCCGCTCGCGCATTTTATTTATATATTATATATAATAACTTCACTGCTAAAAGATGTAACATGATGTTCCTTCATCAATATTATACGAGAACTTATAATAATAATATAAAGATGAAAAGTTTGTTTGTCTGGACGTGCAACTCTCTGAATATATGGGCCCGTTTCAAAATTTTTTTGGATTTTATAGGCTATCTATATAACTTTGAAAAAGGAATCTCAATATATACAGACAGACAGACAAAAATTCTAATAACTATAGATTCGGCTTCTGTATCGATAATAATGTTTATTTCAATAAGATTTTCCAATAAATATTTTATGTTCAGATTCGGCTTAGTTACAATTTTATTATATGTATAGATAAGCGTCAAATTAATAACTTAAGGATATCATTTTTTCGTTTTCTCCCGAAAAATACATTGGTGTACCTAATCAGTTTATAAAAATTTGTTCAATCATGTACAATCAACGATAATTGAAAAAAAAAGTAGTTTACAAAGTAAAAATTATCGATTTCAAAATTTTTAAGTGTATTTTTATAGGACGACCATACAATGTTTTTATTTTTTCAAAAAGTAGAGTTCAAGACGAAAAGAATGAGCCCTATCTCAAAATTGAACAAAAAAAAGTCGGGATGTTTTTCAAATAATTCACGTACAACGATTTTTTAACAATAAAAATAAACAATGTAAAATAACGCAAACTTTATTTACGAGCAATCATTATTTTCTTTTACGTGGATTAACCGAATATGGATTCAATTTCTTTTATTAATTTTACAATGATTGAATTAAAAACCGATATTTATAATGCCATCTATCGGCATGGATTTAAAAAATGATTGTTTGGTTTTGTTAAGACCCCAAGCGTTTACTAATAACTGTCGAGTGTGAAAGATGAATAAGATTGTAGAAAAGCGAAGAGGACGTTTCTTAAAATATATATATGTCTTTTATTAAATACAACTCACAATTTACGCAAAAGGAATGACTATCTATAGTAATATTATAAAGAGGTAAATTTTGTATATTTGTGAGGTTGTAGGGGGGTAATCTCTGGATCTACTAAACCGATTTAGATGAAATTTGGTAAGGTGATAGTTTGAGATCTTGGGAAGGAGATAGGATTATTTTTACCCCGGAAATCATCCCTTAAAGGAGTGAAAATAATGATATAAGTTTGTATTAGGAAGCAAGCTAAGGACGAACCCGAGCGAAACAAGGGTGAGTCGCTAGTTTCTTTATAAAAAAAGTTAACTCTGATTGTACTTACAGAATTTTAAAAGCATTTTACTATTCTGTCTGGCTATATTTGTACTTGAATGCCTCATTATTTCAATTTTAACTTTTATATACCATTTTAAATGAAAGTAATTAAACATTTTGATAAGACTACACACTTACTAGGCATGCCTTTTAAGTTCTGTCGTTTCCATATTTCCCGGCAATTTTGAATTTGGAACTGTTACATATTCGAATGTGTTTAAATTTTGAATCTCAAAACAGTTGAAAGTTTTAGGATTAATGCTATTGTTTAGTCACAGCGTCGATTAGAATCTGTCAGGTTATGTACGAAAATGAATCTTTCTAAGGAAAATGTTCGTGCAATAATTTTCTACAACTTTAGAAGAGGCCTGACACGGCTTCAGTGTTTTGAAGAGCTAATATCTGTGTTCAGTGATGAAGCCCCATGTCTGCGGACTGTCGAACGCTGGTATTTAGAATTCCAGCGTGGACATATTAGTGTTAGTGACAAATCTCGCGAAGGACGCCCAAAATCCGCCTTCACTGAAGATAACATTATTGCTGTGAGACAACTAATTCTCGAAGATCGTCATGTGACATATCGAGAGATAGAGGCTTTATTTGGCATCTCAGGGACAACCATTCAGAAGATCTTGCATGAAGCGCTTTGTGTGAGAAAGTTAGTTTGCCGTTGGATACCGCATCTGCTTTCCGATGATCACAAGGCGGCCCGCGTCAGATGGTGTAAGAAAACTCTGCAAAGGTTCAACCGAGGAGAGTCAAATCACGTCTACGACATCATCAGTGGTGACGAATCTTGGATCTATGCCTACGATCCTGATTCCAAACAACAATCTACAATCTGGGTCTTTCAAGACGAGCCAAAGCCGACTAAAGTTTTTCGTTCTCGAAGCACTTCAAAGAAGATGGTGGCCACGTTCGTTGGAAAAACCGGCCATGTTGCGACTATTGCACTTGAAGATCGTAGAACGGTTAACGCAGAGTGGTATACCACAGTTTGTTTACCACAAGTCATCGCCGAACTTCGAAAATCTAACTCAAAGCGACGCATCATCCTGCACCACGACAACGCAAGCTCACACAGCGCTCGTCAAACGATTAAGTATTTGAAGCAGGAAAAAGTAGAAATTCTTGACCATCTTCCATACAGTCCTGACCTAAGCCCTAACGATTTCTTTACATTTCCTAAAATTAAGAAAAATTTTCGTGGTCAAAGGTTCCAGTCCGGTGAAGAAGCAGTCGACGCTTTCAAGTCAGTCATTTTGAACACCCCCACTTTAGAGTGGAATAAATGTTATAATAACTGGTTTGAGCGAATGGAAAAGTGTATTAAGCTACGTGGTGAATACTTTGAAAAAGAATAAAAAGTACTATAAGGTTCTAGTTGTGTTTTTTTCTTCAAACGACAAAACTTAAAAGGCATGCCTCGTATTAGATTAGAAAAGTAAATTAAATTTTGTTTTTACTAGATTCGATTTAATACCTGTTGCGTTTATTCCGCTTTAGTGTGTGTTTTATTTGACTATTTGAGAAGTTAAGTATTTGGTTCTAGTGTATGTTTATTTATACATATATTTTTGTTTCTTTGACTTGACACACACACACACACACACGCACGCACGCACGCACGCACAGACAGACAGTCAAACAGACAGACAAAAATTCTAAAAAGTATAGATTCGGCCTCTGTATCGACAGTAATGTCTATTTCAATAATAATTTTTCTAAAAAATATAAATCGAAATCGAACCTCTGCCACCGTACATATAGAACTACAGCTTGACATTTACGTCACGTTACGGGGCTGCGACGAACATAATATGTAAAAGAAATTATAAATATTGAGTACAGCTACCGATTAATAACCAATTAAAACGTTAAATTGAAAACAAAACTTTTTAATTTGTTACAGAGAAAATTTTCGTCGCAGAACATTTTTCCAAACAACAAGCTATTGATTTTCTTAAACAAGGGCCGTTTTTATATATAACTTGCTTAATGTATTGGAGCCTATTAACATCACATTGCTGGGCATGGGTCGTAGACCATAGTCCACCTCGCTGGCCAAGTGCGGGTTGGCGGACTTCAGATGTTTTTCGAAAACTTGCTAGGTTCTCTCCGTCATACTGGTTTCCTCACGATGTAACGTAAGTTATGTATATAGTAAGTACTGTTTAACAACTGCCTCGGTGGTGTAGTGGCTAGCATGTACGGCTGCACACCCGGAGGTCCTGGGTTCGAGTCCCGGGTCGGGCCAAGTTTAGTTATTGAGTCTTTCTGTATATTAAGCCGCAGTAACAGCCCGGAGTTGGGAAGATGGCGGGGTTTCACCCCCGTGCCTCGGAGAGCACGTAAAGCCGTCGGTCCTGCACCTTAACTCTTACTGGTCGTGTCGAGCAGTCGTTCCACTGGAGTATGTAGAGTGACAGGAATAGAGAGTGCACGTTGTGTCTGTGCGTACACTTGTGCACTATAATATCTCCTGCGCAGTTGGCTAGTCTCAATGAGATTGGCCGCCGTGGCCGGAATCGGTCAGAAGAACATCATCATCACTGTTTAATAATAAATGGCATAATATGTATGGATTTGGTATTGATGTTTGTGTACAATTTTACAATTATAATACCTAATTTAGTTCTTTTAATGCTAAATTATGTATTATAATTGTAAATTTTCTATTTAAGTTTTAAAATAAGTCAAGCCGATACCTTGCTTCATTGTTACTTAAGCGAAGGACAGACCAACGAACAAATTATGTCATTTAAAATAAAGGGATTTAAAGATAATAACAAATAATATACATAAGTATACTAATGTAATATTTTTGCTCAAAAGTTAAATTTTCAATATTTAAGATGTATCAGATTTAATATAAACCTTTGTTAAATTAAAATAAGTTCATGCGTCGTTGCATCGCCACACATCATGGCGAGTCTCTAAAAATCGGAATTAAAGCAATCTAAATATAAATTATAAATAATGCGAAGAAAACTAATTAGGAAGTTAGTTCTAAATAATCCCAACAACATATTATTTTCATATAATCACGTGCTAACCTGAGGATAATAAGTCGAAGATAAACTCGTACGACTTGCGTTCTTAACACTATATTGCTAACAAGATTTACAAACAACTGTGGTATAAATGATTCTGCCGCTTCCCGATTCACTTATATATTTACTGCAACTGAAAGAAACACTTAAAATGGAATTTTACGGAAAATTAACTGTTTTTATTCTCATTCTGAACTTTTTGGCCATATTTGGGAGAAGTTTAGACAGAATTCAAGATGGACAAGATCATAATTTAGTGGGCCACAATGTCGAAAAACGGTCCATTGGATATATCGAAGGTGATGACAGCGATATCTTCCAACAAGAATATGAAAACGCCTTTGAAAGACCCCACAGAATACGCGTTTTACCTGGTTTCCTTCATTAAAGGTATAATATTGTAAGATATATGTATTTAATTTTAACTGTGCTGTTATTTAAGTCAAAAATTAAATCATTTTTTTTAATTGGCTTTGTAATGTGTTTATGCATTAAAAAAATAAAACAGATTATAAAAGAGTTTTTTTTTTCAATTAATTTTATTCGTAATTTTATAATCCTCATACATTCGATATAACTAAGTAAGTAACAGATTACAATAATATGTTCATCAATAATAGGCTAAACATAGCTTAATCAATTTGTCTTAAACAAAGTAATCATGAACGTAATAATTATATATTTTTGTTAAAATAAATCATTGCAATTGTCTTGATTAAAAAAAACTATTTTTTTTTTCAATTAAAACCAAAGAGGTTTTATGTTTTATATAAAATATGAACTTATTAATATATATTTTTTTGGATTAAAACAATCTAATGGATTATTTCTTAATAAAATTAAAGCTTTGCAATTTTAACAGTTTTTACGTATTCTGAAGACATTGAAAGGTTAGTACCAAAGTGTATTAACTCTTAAAAGTACAAAAAGGTGAAAACAAAATTGATTTAAACACATCGGACATATTATTTTTTAAATAATAAGAAAAGAACGATTGACTCATTTCTAAAGCTAAGGCACCGTTGATTCAGCATATTTTCTTAAAAATATTATATCGAAGAATTAATACTTAAAAAAATTACGTAAAACTGAAAAATAAATCGCCTCACTGGCCTTAGGAGTACACAAATATACCGTTATTGGGCTTAAATTCGTATTAAAAAAAGGACAAAAAAAAAACAAAAATTAAACAGTTAAATTTTATAAGCTGCATATTCGTAGAATAAAGAAAAATAAACAATATACTTAATAATAATTAAATCAATGCTTATTACATTCAAAATCATCTTAAATAAATCTTATCTTACGAGTACAAATATATATTTTTGGCACAATGAGAATTCACTGGATTCATAGTTTGAGTTAGTTTGGTATTTGGTTAAAATTATATTATTAATATTATACTCTAAATATATATGCTATTTTGACATTTTGACGTATCTTGTAAGAATATTATAAAAGAATGTTAAAAAGAAATATATCTTGGTTAAAATATCGAATTTGATATTATTCTTTCTAAAGGTATCTCTAGAGTGAATGCCTTCTTCACTAATTCGTACCTACTGTTAATTTATCACTCTTTATAAAAGCTATAGAGTTATATTTGATAAAAAATACACCGAAAAACATTTTGCCATCAAAAAACTAAAACACAATTTTGGTACAAGATTAAAAAAATATTAGTAATATCTCATATACAAACAATATTAACAATAAGATACTACAATATTTTTTCCATGTTTATTAATAACTTAGGTTTAACATTAAACCAAATTTTAAAATTTCATGGGAAGTTATTTTTAAAAAGGATTTTCAAAAAGGAGGAGGTCCTATGTTCGTCTGTATAATTTTTTTTATTTATTAAATATTAATATATAAAATATTTTCTTATTAAAATTGGAGTTAGGCTAATTTTCTTGAATTATATATTTTTTTAAATATTGTAGTACCTCATTATTTAAAATATCGTAAGATCATGAACTTATGTTAATAATGTTAGGTAAATAAACATTTAGTGTCTAATATACATATAAATTTTATAAGTAACTTTAATGCCATTTGGAGTATACTATAAGTAAGTAAGCTTAAAATTTAACAACAATATCTGTTAGTAAATCTCGAAATATACATTTTATATTTAATCTATGCAACATACACATTTGTTTTGTAAACAAAAGATAAAAAATAATATATACGAAGCAGTTTTTAGACGGGCAATCCTAAGAACGGTTCAAAATAATATGTTGTCTTTAAATAAATATTTTGGAAACACATATTTTGTTTTTTGTATCTAATAGTCATAATGTACCTTATACATAATTAATTATATTTATCAAATCTAAAAAAATATATCTTTGGAGTAAATTTTTTGGTATAGGTAAAGGCACTGTTCACGGAAATTTACTTCATTTATAATGTATAGGAAAATAAAGATAACAAAAATAGATTCAATATTCGCGTCGGCAATAATAGCCGAGAGAGCGACATTTCTGGCACAGATGCTGCGGGTGAATCTTTGATTGATCACTAACGTCCAACCCATCAGGTTTTTCGAGCGGTCTCTGGAAAGTAATTTGAAAATTTTAAATGAAACTATGTTTTGGGAATTTGTCGCGGCTTTATTTTATATTTGTGCTCTCGACGTTTTCAACGCTTTACAGCAAACATGGTCACTGCAGACCATTTAAAATGTTAAATGTTCGCGTATAGAATGTATTATTTAATAATTTATTACATTTTGATTTGTTTTGACCTACTCTAAAAAAGGGTGTACTCAAAAAGGGTTTTTTGTTACACACAAAGACACGTGAGAGGTAATGCTTGGTGACACAATATGTACGCCATTTTTATAAATTTTTTAAAGACCTCGTCGATTATGTAGAAATTTTTATTACGATTTTTCATTGAGTTTCTAGATCTCATTTAAATTTAAAATAATTAAGCGAATAAATCACATTTTATACCTAACGAATTGATTTTTTTAACTTTACCTGTTTGTGTGGGAACACGTTGATGCGACACTTTATGCATTCCTGACCATTGTTAGCCCAGGAGTTACCACTCATCCACTTACGCTTGCACTTTGGGCATTTATATTCGCCGAAACATCGTTTCTTGCCTTGGTATGGCGTCAAACCTTCGCCTTTCGGCCGTGCCTGGAATCAAAGAAATATATGTTGACCTTAAGAATAATTTTCTTCTGACCATGTGACCAATCTTGGAGACATTATTGTCAGTTCCGTCTTTACCATAAGAGCACACGGGGCACGCGCAGGATCCAGACTTAAGGTGCTCCCAAAAAGACATTGATATATAATTAATTTCTTAACAAATATCTCTTCAAAAAGTGGTATCGACATGTAACGAAGTCAAACCAAAGAATAAAATTCAAAATTCGTAAATCCTAATTGTCTAAACACAAATTAGAACTTACTACTACTACTGGTAAATGCATTTACGCACGAGATGTGGGATTCACCGGCAAAGCCAGTACTACCCACTAAAATCCAAGAAAACCTTCCCCCGACTTAATGGGGCGTCGCAGGATCTGCCGAAGCAGACCACAACAATCACGGGGTTGCTCCAAGGTCCACTCTGCTATCAGAGAAGTACCAGGAGCAACCCGCATGGAACACCACCCTCCGAAGCGGGCCACCTTCCTGTGCGTTTCTTGGCTTCGCGCCCGGCTAGATTGCCGGGCACTACTGAGCCCTCCCACCACGACAAGGTGAATGCACGTTGGGGGGGGTGCATCATATTATGGACCTGGAGCAAACTCCTAACCACTGGTTTTTACAAATACTCAACGGATTTCTATAAAAATAAGTTTTATCTATGCCCAAAGTGAAAAGAACTTGGAATGTCCATGACATGTCGATAAAGAAGGAGGATTGTCCAAAAATGTACATAGTAAAAAGTTACTGCATAATTTGTTCTCAATAAAAGTATCATACATCTAAACTTTTAATTGTTTTTTTCTCATAATATATTCATTACCACATTCTCTGTTATTTATCTGTAGCCTTTATTTTATCACAGATTATATAATAATATTATACTTGATTTATTAAATTCATGACCCGAATAGCACTGCTAGGTACATATGTCTTTTATATGAACGTCAAAGGCAAATCAACGCTTCCTTTTAAACCAAAGTTTGAGTTCAAGTATTAATGTTATCATATCATAGACACGTCTTTGTATTAAGAAATGGGTTATTTAAAAAGTAATTACATGTCAAATGCATGCTTTGTTAGCGGATTTCGCCATTATATCTTTATATCGATATTTTATTTATTTAAGCACAGAAATAGACATAAAAAATATAAAATACTAGCATTACCTGCGGCTCCGCTCGCGTTCAGATGACCAAATACCAAATTCTTAGGTTTTACATATTAGTAAACTCTTACATTGCAGTTTTTGTATTTTTTCTCAGAAATATGAGATGTTTTACCGCGGTAAAAAGTATCCTATATCTTGACCCAGAAAACCAGCTATCACCATACCTCAAAATCTCTCCAGTGGCTTTTCTGTGATGCGGTAACAGACAGACAGACCGACAGACAGACAAACAAAAATTCTAAAAACTATAGATTCGGCCTCTGTATCGATAATAATGTTTATTTCAATAAGATTTTCCAAAAAAAATATAATGTACAGATTCGGCTTAGTTACAATTTTATTATATGTATAGAATACACGTACTTAAATCTATACATATACTAGCGACTCACCCTCGCTCCGCTCGGGTTTGTCCCTGGGGTGGGGTCTGGGAGGACCACCCTTATCTTTATCACTTAGGGGTATGAAAAATAGATAGTAGCCGATTCTCAGACCTACTGAATACAAAATTTGGTAAAAATCGGTAAAGCCGTTTCGGAGGAGTACGGTAACAAACATTGTGACATGGAAATTTTATATATAAGAAGATTAAAATTGTAACTGAGCCGAATCTGTACATTAGATATTATAGGCATTAGATATTATAGATAGCATCACCATGATTATCTTTATTATCTTATCTATCTAGAAAGGCATTTTTTGCGAAGAGACGGTAAGAACATTTGAACAACTAAAGGAAAATATCTAACCAAATATTGAATTAGTACAAATCGAATCCGTACCCTTTTGCACAATCGACAATGTAGGTCAAATAGGATGCCACTCCACCTGACATCCTGTTTATTTAAAGTCATATAAAATAATCTTCTTTAAACCCTGATGAGTGATTAGGTTTAAGATGACTGATATTTGTAATAGAATTCTGAGTATTAGTTACATAATATAACGTAAATTATAATAAAAATCTGGCCCGTCGCCAGTGACTAAGCGGAAATAGCTTTCACAAGAGCTTTTGTGATTTAAGTGATAAGGATAAATAATTATTTTATTAAACCTATTATATATTTCTATGAAGCTACTTTAATAAAAATTTCATATTGACCTATTTTTAAATTATTTTTAAAGAAATAAATAAGTGGATAATCGCCATTTAATTATTATTATCATAAATGTACTGATATGATGTTTTAGCATTATTTATTTACTAGCGATTAACCCTCGATATATGGAATAGATAGACTATATATTATATGATATATAGCCTATAGCATTTCTCAATAAACCAGCTATCTAATGCAAAAAGATTTTTTCCAATCGTTAGCTATTTAATAATGCTCTTCGAAGGGTTTTCTGAATTGGATCACGGTGGGCAACTTTGGACTAGCCATATCTGTGCAGGATATGTTATATTGCATTTGTGTGACTGCAAACTTTAGTCTGAATTTATGACAGTATTATCCAACTGGAGAGATAGAGATAAGACGTTTGATCGTCTAGACGACGAAGTATTGGAGTGTTACTGGGAACACAAGTAACACTGCTACTCGGAATGTCTCGACAGAAAACCTAATAAGCTAGACTCAAGCTCTGGACCTATGTAGTGTCCAATATAAAACTCTATCCGATGGGCAAGTGATGTTGCCAAAAGCTCTGATAGAATTATTATTATTTGGCTTGATCCAGGAATCAAAATCAAACTCATACCTCATGTGTCGGCGTTCGTGATAATTACTAAGCCTCAATAATTGATATACCTGTGGACAGTCTCCAATGTAGTGTCCTTTCTTGAAGCACAAGTGGCACATGTATGCCGGGGGTGGCGGTCGCGGGGGGCGGCGCAGAGATAGTGCTGCGAGTTGTTCTGCCAGAGAGCTCGTATCGTCTGCCTGTTGGGTGGATCCGGTCGCTGCGGTTGGTAACGGTCCCCATACTGAGCCCGGTACCCACTGGAATGAGAATAAGAAAAATATAGCAATTTCTAGCAGATTCGACATCTTTACAAAATCTAGTAAGTACACAAAAAAGTTTCATCGAAATCGGTCGTTTATTTTGATTTGATTTTGAAATATGTATATAAAAATAATTATTAAAATCTGTACTTTAATGAACACAACCATGATAGCTTTGTTTTTCTCTGTCAAAAAAAGTCAAAACGTGTAAGTTAAACAACTAAAGAAAAAAACAGAATAAGTTAAGTAGTAACACAGTGTTACAATAACTGTGGTAGTAATCTATACTAATATTATAAAGAGGTAAAGTTTGTTAGTTTGTGACGTTGTAGGAGGTAATCTCTGGATCTATTAAGCCAATTTAATTTTTTTAAGAGGATACTTTAAGACCTTCGGAAGGACATAGGGTACTATTAATCCTGAAAATCATCCCTTAAAGGGGTGAAAACGGGGATGAAAGTTTGTGTTGGGAAGCAAGCTAGAGACGAACCAGAGCAGAGCGAGGGTGAGTCGCTAGTATTTAATGTAACTAGTTCATGCGCGCGGCTTCACTCGCGTAGATGTAGCAAAGGGCCAAAGGTTGTAGCATTATGTTAGATAGCATATGATGATGATGTTCTCCTAGCCGATTCCGGCCACGGCGGCCAATCTCAATGAGATTAGCCAACTGCGCAGGAGATATTATAGTGCTCAAGTGTACGCGCAGACACAAGTGCACTCTCTATTCCTATCACTCTCATACTCCGGTGGGACGACCACTCGACACGACCGGTGAGAGTTAAGGCGCAGGACCGACGGCTTTACGTGCTCTCCGAGGCACGGGGGTGAAACACCGCCAACTTCCCAACTCCGGGCTGTTACTGAGACTTACTATACAGGAAGACTCAATAACTAAACTTGGCTCGACCCGGGACTCGAACCCAGGACCTCCGGGTGTGCAGCCGTACATGCTAGCCACTACACCACCGAGGCAGTATAGTAGATAGCATATACAATATACATATCTTTCCTCAATAAATATACCACAAAAGGTGCTAAAATATTTTTTAAGTCTGCCTGCTAGGTATGTAGAGATGAACGCGTTCAATGTAAATAAATAACCCTGTAATGTTATTTATTTATTTGATGTTGTTTATTTTATAAATTGTTCAAAGAGAATTTATTTGTAAAACATTATATGTATTCAGCCCTTTTTAACGTCCCACTGCTGGGCACGGGCCTCCCTTCAATACGAGGGGGATCAGGCCATAGTCCACCACGCTGGCCAAGTGCGGGTTGGCGGACTTCACATGTCTTTCGAAAACTTGCTAAGTTCTCTCAGACATGCAGGTTTCCTCACGATGTTTTTCCTTCACCGTAAGGCAAGTGGTAATCATGTTAGAAATGATTCGCACATGAAAATATCAGTGGTGCGAGACCCGGGATTTGAACCCGCTTCACTCGGTTTCCCAAGCAAGCGCGTTACCACTGGGCTACCACTGCCTTTTAAACATTATATACGATTTTGATTAAAAAAAGGTTAGTTTTGAAACAGGTATTTATTAGACAACATGTATTTTTTTAAATTCTCGTAGAAATTGTTGTAGGTTTAGATATATTGATACAAAAAAAAATAATAAACAGATATGTTGCGTTATATTTATAACTAAAAGTAAATAAAATAAATATTTATTTCTCTAGAGAATGTCTACAAAAATCGATCAATAAAAAATCAATTAGAAAAAAATAGTTTTATCATATTTGTTTCTTATATTTTTAGACATGTAGGTACTGGATAAAACTTCAACAGACTAAAATATAGTAAGGCATTCGTACAATGCTAACATATGTCCCGTTAGGAAAATGAACCTACGACCTATTTGGCACCCCACAACCATTTCAGATATTTAGGTAGAAGATAATCAAGTACACGTAATGAATCTCTCTCAAAAGGATTCTCTTGGCACATTTAATACTTATTTAGTCTCGAGGTGGCAGAGTAATTGTAGCACGAGACGAATGTATAAGACATCTCAGTCGAAAAAGTCCCATGAAGAACAAAAACCGTATTCGACTTTTTGAGGAATTTTGACACAAATACGTAGGTATGTACGCTCATCATTTGGAACAAAGTTTAAACCAAAATAAGAAAGTCTTATTACAGATTAAGGGGTGCAAATTTTTACAATAACACTCAGCTATCATTTGTAGCGACTGCTGCAATAATCTATACATATAATAAAATTGTAACCAAGCCGAATCTGTACATTAGATATTTTTTGGAAAAGCTTATTGAAATAAACGTTATTATCGATACAGAGGCCGAATCTATAGTTTTTTGAATTTTTGTCTGTCTGTCTGTTACCGCATCACAGAAAAACCACTGAAAGGATTTTGATGAAATTTGGTATGGTGATAGCTGGTTATCCGGTTCAACATATAGAATACTTTTTACCCCGGGAAAATGTCTCATTTCTGAGAAAAAATACAAAAACTGCAATGTAAGAGTATAGTAATATGTAAAACCTAAGAATTTGGTTTTTGGTCATCTGAACGTGGGCGGAGCCGGGGGCAATGCTAGTCGATAATAAAATTGGCATTTTAACCTACTTCCAAAAAGAAGGAGGTTCTATGTTCCTCTGTATGTTTTTTATGTGTATTCATCGATTTTTCTTTCTTCAATTTGAACGCAACGAATAGGCATGTGTTTGTTAGAATATAATTTAATTAATACTAGATCGATATTACAACTGTGGTAATAATCGAGACAGGGTATAATAGACAAATGAAATCGCTGTAAATGACGCATTTCCATTGGCCTGCGCGCGCGCATCTGTTTAACGAATTAAGAACCAATTCGATCCAATTCGGTGTCGCGTGCGTTGACGCCTTGACTCAACTGCTACGTTAGTCGTTAAATCACATTTGAAATATTAAGCCGATATGGCGTGATTAGATTTATTATGAGAATATACTTAAAATGATATTAATATAATAGCTCTTTGTAGATACATATTATGCGACTTTTTATTCAAATAACAAGTCTTTTCATAAAAGCAAATGGTATCTGTGACATTGAAATAAATGGTATTTAAGCGATTTTAAAATAGAAAGAAAATCTTAATGCGCAGATATTGCATTCAACTGGTACTTTGCTATAACTTTAATGGTTTATTTTAGTGTCAAAATGATTTGCGGTTTCCACTAAGTTTTACTAGCAAATGTTGGCCCTTTTTATTTATTACTTAAACTACGTTTTGTTTTGACCACGCCTCAACTAGACCGTTGAAACCAATCAATACCTACATCTTACACTTCTGCAATAACTAATTGCATCTATGGGATTTTTACTTTATTCGTATACGTCTAGAGTACATGTGTTCGAAGTGCAATTTTCTCCAAGACTCCAAAAGCGTAGACAAGTTTATTTGCAAATGACTATCATTGACAATGATTACCAGATTTTGGTATTGCCAGAATAGGTTACCATGTATCCAACCAGCAAAACCACGTTAGATCCAAGGAATGTTGAGGGCGAAAAGTACTTCGTGCGGAAATCGAAGCCGTTCTGACTTCAATATAACAGCTAAATGTACTTCTGCAGCATGAATCTTCTCATCCTAATATTATAATGAATCAAGGAAAAGATCTATATTACAAAAACAACACTAAAACATTTCCTGGAATGCTGGAATTTCTAACACATATCTGGTGTCAAAAACAATGTATTTAAGTCTAACACTCAGTTTTACGGCGGTTTTTTCTTAAATGACACTAATTACGTGGCAACACCCGCTTCGACGTTTTCCAGCTGTATCTTATAAATCTAGATTATCGTTGTTTGTTGTTTTTTCCAGAAATAATCGTCACTCCTGGTTTTTTAAAGAGTATTAAGACTGGAATTTGAAAGAATTTTTCAAGTCATGTAATAAATTAATAACAAAATGACTAATCCATTTTATATGTTTCATAAAATTATTTGAATGTTTAGACTAAATGTACAGATAATTAGTTTATTTTACAGGAAAAAACCTTTTTCATCATTATATTTTTCATTATTATTAATACAAGAAACAGTAAGTAATGATTATATAAAACAATAAATAAATATGTTGGAACATTAACGCAGCACCATCTAGTTCCATGGTTAGCTACGAGGCCAGTATTATGGATACTAGGTAGTTGATACACTACACATATATAACTTTAAATACATATATATTGTTAACATAATTACCCATGACTGGAGTATAAACATTCGTACTTATCACACAAATGAATGCCCCCAGCGGGACTCGAACCTGCGACCGCTGGCACAGCAAGTAAGGTCACATCAAACTGAGCCAAACGTGTCGTCACTCGTATTATAAAATTAAGATCAAATTTTTATATGAAGTGCTTTAAAATTATTGAACTTGACGTTGTTCTCGAGTTTAAAAGCACTTGAAAGAAACAGCAAAGTTGATCTCCGCATAAATCTTATTTTAATAGTTAAATAATAATAAATCAGTTCGTACATTTTATACTTCCTTAAGAGAATTTTACTTCATTTATAGAAATTTTACATAATTTATTAGGTAACTAACGTAAATTGATGTTATTCGTGCGATATAATCGACAATTATTGTTAGTTTAACATTTAATAACTGCGTCTTTTTCCATGTTCTAATAAAATAAAAATAGGTTATAAATATTTTTAGGGTACCGTACCCGAAGGGTGCCAACGGAACCCTATTGCCTGTCAGAGGGCTGTATCTCATAAACCGTAATAGGTAGAGAGTTGAAATTTTCAGAGTATTTATTTCTATTGCCGCTTTAAAAACAAATAGTAAAAAACCAAGATATGGAATTTCAAAAAGGTTGCCATGCAAATAAAAAAAAATCTATTATGGTACTGAGCCTTCGTGTGCGAGTCCGACTCGCACTTGACCGATTTTTAAGGTACCGATAAAAATTTAGAAACACGAGTAATATTTTTTATCTGATGAATAATCAGATTTTGCAAAAAAATTTGTGTA